AGACACCGGTGGGACCTAAGACTGGTGACACCCTGGTGGTTCAAGTGGAATCACCTTCCACCCACGTTAGGTCCGTCAAGTCACTGGTGGGACCTAAGACTGGTGACACCCTGGTGGTTCAAGTAGAATCACCTTCCACCCACGTTAGGTCCGTCAAGTCACCGGTGGGACCTAAGACTGGTGACACCCTGGTGGTTCAAGTGGAATCACCTTCCAGCCCTGTTCAATCCACCAAGTCACTGGTCAGTGATGAAGCTGCGGTTGAGGCTGCAGCACCAGCAGCCCATCAGTGGGACGATACTAGTTGCAGGCTTATGGTCATTGCACTGGTTCGTAGAATTATGAAAAGTCCGATACATCTGGACATTCATTTGACCTGCAGTGAAATTGATGCAGTCAGCAGGTCACTGGCGCAGACGTTCCTGGAACAGATCACAGGTTCCGAGTTTGCTCTAAAGCCAAGTGGCCAGCACATCAAGAAGGTCGCCAAGGCAGTGCACAAGGAGTTGTGCAAGCTGACAGGTGATGCAGAGATCTTGAAGATGTGCCTGCTGTCCCGGGATGCATCTGTTTACAGATGCATAGCCGAGACACTAACAAAGCATCTGGTGATGCCGCAGAAGAAGACTGGTGTGAACAGACTCTTCTCACGTCTCTTCAAGACCGTGGCCAAGCCGTTCGCCGCTTGCTTTGGACGCAAAGAGTAATCTTTGGCAGTTTTTGACTGGACGCTAACTGGGTTTACTCCGAGAGGCTTCGGTTCGCCCACATTTTAAACTATAATGAAAAAAAATTATCTCAGTTTAGAGAAGAATTGTCTGGTGGGTTGCAACACTGGACATCAGGTGTTATAGGGACCGGACATGTGTACTAACTGGGATGACACAGGGTTTACTCCGAGAGGCTTCGGTTCGCCCACATTTTAAAAAATAATGAAAAAAATGACCTCAGTTAAGAGAAGAATTGTCTGGTGGATCGCGACACAGGACATCAGGTATCATAGGGTCACACAGGTGCCTCAGTGTAACACTGTGGCCTTGCAGCTATCAGGTGAAGGTTCAATTCCAGCCTTTGACCCCCTTTTGCTGTGAGGAGTACAGAGTGCTCACCGTGTTGGCGTGGGTTTTCCCCGAGTAGCTTCGGTTTCCTCCCACATTTTAAAAAATAAATGATTGAGCCAAACTTATAGCCATGTTTGGCCTACTCAGCAGGGGAGCTGAGGCCTATCCCAGCATGCATTGTGTAAAAGGCCTTGGGAAACCCCAGAGATGTTATTAGTCTAGACAAACACATTCACACCTACAGCCCCCCCCATAAAATAAATAAAATAATAAATCTAAAATAAAAACAAACAATATAACATAAAACAAACAATCCGTCTGATAAGAGTCTCACTATGAACGACCCTACTGTGGTAAATGTTTTATACTTTCATGTACTACTCCGAGCAGATTGATCAGATCCAGCTGAACTTTGCTGGTGATGTTTAGTAAATGTTGTGACGCTTTGTTGAACGGCATCTGTGGCGTCTGGAGTTGAATTTAGAAAAAAAAAAAACTTATTTTGATGCTTTGAGGCATCAAAGTCTGCTAGCAAGTTCAGTTTTGGGGCCTCTGTAGTTGTAAAGCAATGCTAGTGAAGAAAACATTGAAAGGATTCTGGTTTAGGGTTATAAAACTGTAAACTATCTATATTCATATCTGTACTCAAAAATGGGCGGGGCTTCAACCTGAACTTGTTCAATTAAGCCTGAAATTGATATGCCATATGCCATTTTTGGCGGTTTGCACGCTTTGTATTTTAACAAACTCCTCCTAGAGAATTGGTCAGTACACTCTGAAGACGTTCACAATGAAAGAATATCATTAAGTTATTTGTTGTGTCTGTGGCGTAGCGATGAATTTTGATTTGCACCTTTAATTAGGGACCGAGCCAGCGACCACTGAGGACACCCCCGAGTTGCGTGGAGTGCGAGGTGCCGCCCAATGCTGCTTGCAGCTTTAATTTTAAAAGTTATTGAACTTTAATTAAAGTCATTATCTGTAAATTACAGTAATTATTGTTGTTTTCACTGATAAAAACTGTTTTGACAGTTTACCAATGGTTATATGGTTATACACTGATAACAAACATTTATTTAACGTTTTTTGTGAAAATTATACCATATATCTCTCAATTCACAAACAAATACAGATTCTTTCATCTCTTTATGTAATTTTTAATTAATATTTAATAATAAATAAATCTGTAAAATTACAGATTTATTTACAGTGAAGTTGTTCTGTTTTAGAAAAAACAGAAACAAACGTTCTGCTTATGTTTCAGGATTCAGTGCCAGAAAGTAGAAACTAACTTTCAGTACAAACATTTGTTAGTTTCGGGACCTTCATCAGTCAGATGGTTCATGATAACGGGATCTTAAATAACATTAATAACATGTGACATTGATGTCATTGATGTCATTAACGGCGTCCTGCCTCACATGGAGAATGACTGCAGCCACTCCGTTTAAGACGGCTTAATGAACCTTTTACCTGCTGAAGATACCAAACGTTTATTTCTTAAATTAATGTTCTGACATCAGAAATTCCTCTTATCGACTGAATATCATAAAACCAGGAAGAATCCTGCAGTGAGTGTGTTTATGTTTTTGTGTGTGTGTGTGTGTGTGTGTGTGTGAATGTGTTTGTGTGTGTGTGTGTGTGAGCACTGAGAGGATTAATGTCCAGAACAGATGGATCAATAAACTCCTCTGTTGTTCAACACATGCTTGTTCAACACATGCTGAGTAAACACACACACACACACACAGTTCTGCTTCAGTGCAGTAAAGTGTGTGTGTGTGTGTGTGTGTGTGTGTGTGTGTGTGTGTGTAGAATCCCCGCTGTCCTTACAGCAAACACATTTAAAAACAACAAAACCACCCTGAATGCAACATGAAATTCTCCATTGTGAAAACCTTTGCAGCCGTTGAACGTAACGTTTATGTAACCGGGATGAGTTTGTGTCCTTATGGGGACGCGTCCACGCTTTGTTTGTGTCCTCGTGTCGCACCCAAACAGATTAAATGTGACTGAATCCGAACCTGCAGGTGGCGGCGGCTCTGAGTTTATAACACTGATATCTTAATAATTAATGAGAGAAGAGAAGAAAAGAAAAGAAAAGAGATTCTACATCCAATCTGAGATCATATTCCAGGGTTCCCAGGCATCCTGGAAAACCTGGAAATTTGGATTGACAGTCATGGAAACACCTAAAAATGTATTAAAATAGGCAAATATCCTGATAATAACCTCTGCTGTCCTTTAGCCCTTCACTCAGATTGACTATGTATTTTGTTTTCCGGCGTTTTCTGGAGCCGCAATGACAAATCTTAGGAAAAAGCCTGTTGGAAAAATGTCTTGTTTTTGTTAATAAATAATAATCGTTTGTGCAACAAACACTTTTAATTAGGCTAATGTAACCAAAGTCAGCCAGTTCTCACCAGCACAGAGCAGCCGTACTTCTTATTGACTGCTGCCAACCACCTCAGTATTATTATGAAAGTCAAAGACGATCAAATTTGTTAAATGTCTAAAAATAACTTCATTTATGGCCCCAAGTCTTCTCTAGCAAGTCCCATTTCTGGACCTCTAAAACCCTGCGTACAGTCTCCAGGTTCTTCAGCCGGGTCGTTCCAAAGCCGAGGGGTCCTGATGGCAAAAACACGGCCACCTTCAGATTAAAGCCTCGAGGTTGGAACAACCAGAAGGACCTGAGGCAGTAAAATCAGTAAAAGTGATCAACCAACCATCAATTAATCAACCTTTATGCCTTCGGTTGTTCATCCAGGGTTTAACCCTCTCTAAGATCCTTATTCACTCATTTATATTCTTGTTTTAGATGTTCAGGTGAGCAGAGATTCAGTGTCTGCTCAGTATCATTGGATCAGAATTACTTTAATATAATGAAAACTGTTATTTTTAATGATGCTGAAACTCGTGTTGCTGCTGTGTAGAGCTGTTTGTGTGTGTGTGTGTGTGTGTTTCTGTTTTTGTGTCATTGTGACTTTGTGCTGAGCAGACACCTGCAGTTCTCCGCCATGACCCAGATGAAGAACAGATTATCTAAATCTCTCTCGCCGCTGTCATATTTAATGGCCTTTTTCTGCCTTAACCCGTCGCCGCTGCACTGCGTCACCACGGCAACAGACAGCCAACGAAAAACACCGTCTACATAAGTTTTGTCTGTTGGTTTATTTGTTGTTGCTGTTTTACCGCTTTACTTTCTATATAATGTCATACTAAATGCGTAGTTCATCACATTCATGGTGTTTGAATTAATTAATGATAATTTATAGCCTATTTAATAGTTATTAACAACATTTTACACACATTTTATAATGGTTTTAGCTGATACAACTGATAAAGAAAACAGCAAATTCTAGCGTACATACTAAAATCCCAGTAAAAAAGGAACAAGTCATTATCATTATTCATTATCCCAGCGGCTCTACTTCGAGTGCCGATGGCTTTACCTTACAGTCCCTTTTAACTGGAGACTGAAGCGTTTATATCAATCTATTCTCTCCTCAAAGCCACCAGACTTTATTGACAAAAACAGTTTTACCCCTCTGTGATTAGTTTGGATCTGAACTAATCGGACTGAGGCAGCGGTGGACCAGCACCTCACATGTTCTGCGAGGTAAAATTGCTGTTTTTATCTAGAAGTCTGGTGGCTCTGGAGATACAAGACTGCAGTTTCCCGTCTGAATGGGCGAGCAGTGAAAATATTCTACATATAGCGACTGAAACTGATATGGATTGTTGTTTGTTTTAACCTTTTAAGATCTCATCCTCACTTATATTGTTTAACAATTTATGCTAAAAACATTTACAAAGACTCAATTTCTTTGTGATTTAATATTAAAATACGACAATCTTTCTGTCTGTCTGTCTCTCTCTCTCTCTCTCTCTCTCTCTCTCTCTCTCTCTCTGTCTGTCTCTCTGTCTGTGTTTCAGGGTGCAGCAGTGGGCGTCTGTGTTTTCTGTTCAGCTCCGAGAATCCACAACCAAATACTCGGGCTCTCTGCTGCTGCAGAAGGTAAACCCTGCTGAATCCTTTAAGGGAAAGATCCTATTAAAGATTGACTCGCGCTGTGTGACAGAGCTTCAGTTTTCAGTGCTTTTCCTACATTTCCCAGAATGCCAGTCGACCGCACACGCACTAATAGAGTTGGGAGCAATGTTTGTATTGTTTTCAATGTTTCCATCACAACACAATAAATGACATAAACCCAAAACAAGAGATTCTTTAACAGTGAAAATGAAACAGATAATTAAAGCAATAAATAGATAAACTAAATACAAATAAAGGGATAAAAAACTTGTAAAAAACGTTTAAAAGTTTAATTTCCTTTTAAAAAATGAGGAGAGCTCGTCATTTTAAAATCCAGTTACACTTTAAATGAGGATTTAATTTTTATTTATACCAGGAGCAACTGTCTTCTAAGAGGTTGTCAGTCAGCATCATGAAGAGACGTCGGTCGAGTCCGAGAGAGTTTCCTCCAGTGGCTCCTTGCGACTTTCACAAAAGATTTAATGGAGTAACTGCTATCTATCTATCTATCTATCTATCTATCTATCTATCTATCTAGCCTGATTTCTGATTGGAAGTGAGCTCTCTTAAAGACAGAAAAAGACTGAAAACAGCAAAACCACCCACTCATAAAGCACATAAGGGACTAAACTGAATATAAAAATACACTGGTGCAAGACAAATAACTATTAATTATATCGTTATCTCAGGAAAACAAAGTTTCGTAATCTCGAGATCTCGAGAAAATTATCCCGTTATCTCGGGAAAACAAATGGAATTAACTCGTTATCACGGGAAAACGGAGGAAATAAAATGTATGAATGCATGGCCCTTTAGGGCTTCCATACATAACACAATAATAATAATAATAAAACCAGATTTTCGGGGGCGTTTTCCTTTAAATATTAAAAGCAGGATGAGAGTTTGTTTTGGATTAAAAATGATATGATGTAACATTTCTACTGATCAAAGTAAAACCAATGAAAAGCAGCTGAAACTCAAACTGGTCCGAACAGCAGCAGCCTGGTTGAACTGGGAACTGGGAAATAATATGGACTGTTTGTTTGTTTGTGTCTGTCTGTGTGTTTACCAGACACACACACACACACACACACACACACACACACACAGAGGGATCATGGTAATGCCCAGATTGAGGACCGAGCCCTCTTTACCGGCGTCAGGATTTGTGGCCTGTTCTGATTTTAGACATTCATCCATTTATCTGTCAGATTTAGATTTATCACAGGCAGTCTGCAGTTTGTCTGCTTTCGAAACCACAACCACCTCCCGTAGTTCAGGCGACGCTGCAGACGGCGTCAACCAGCACCGAAGAGCTCTTTACCCTCCTCAACAACTACTGTTCTGCACCGAACAACTACAGCAATGTCAGATTTAACTTGAGACTGAAAAGTGTGAAAAATGTTTCACTTTCAGCATCACAGACAGCTCAACTTAGAAATAATACACACAATTCCTTTAATTACAAACTGAAACAACCCAAACAAACCAGGAAAGAGAAATTAATCGTTATAAAAAGAATATTATAATAGTATTACTGACTTTATTTCTATTAAAACGAGTTAAAAGACTCAATCTGAGGCGGTCCTATCCAGAACTTCACCCTCCTGTGTTTGAGTACTGAGAGTAATTGAATAAGTTCGTCTTTGTCCGGCGACCTCGTTGCTTCTCGCTCAGTTGAAATCCGAACTGACAGACTCTCCTGTAGTGAGGTTGTCTTCAGACAGGTCTTCAGTGATCGCCGAACGCCCATTAGTGTTGGTTGAAGCCTATAGGCCGATATAGTTTTAAAAAGGGGTGAAACATAGCTAAGGCCGCCTCTGGGCTGTATGTCTGGGACATACTGGGTTGGGCGATATGTTAAAATATTCGGCGATTTCAGTGTCTGTGAGTGTGTGTTTGTGCTGCACCAGCTCTCATTGCTTTAATAAAGAAAATAAACTCACAAAATGTCAAAAAAGGAAAAGAAAAACACAGATTTTTCCTTCTGAATTCAAGTTTCTCTCCCTAACCGACCTTGTTATCTTAAAACTTAAAACATACTTCAAACTTAACTCACCTAATCGTCTTTATTAGTCTTTATACTGTTCCAACAAGCACCAATTCTGCTGTCTAACAGAGTCACAGGTGAAAACATAAACAGAAATGTAACATTCAGACTTCCTAGATGGAAATGAAACAATCACTTCCAATATCCCAGGTTTAGTTTCCGGAACAATCACATCCCTCGGACACATCCCTGAGAATCCACTTATAGACGATACCTGCCTCCTAAAGATATTCTAGCAGCAAGTAAAAAGGCCGTTATAAAACACTGATGGAGAGAGACGGTGTGGAAAATGTTATATTTTGACTCTCCGGTTCCATGTAGTTGTTTTCTGTCGTAGTGTTGAGTTAAAATACAGAAATCTCTCATGCGAAATAACCAAAACTGGAGATTCCTGAGCCGATTCTCAAGATCGGGATCAAACAGAGTATATTTTAAAGTCTGATCAGAATCGGATATTTTCTTTTACTGTTTTCTGTGTTTTGTTTACTTCAGTCTGCTTTAAGTTGGAGTTTTATTCCATATTTAACTGTAAAAATACAAGTTTTTACCATCAATAGAAGCAGTTCTGACACATGAGATATGAAGGTGGTTTTCTGTGCAGTTTACAGTCTGTAACATAACAAAAAGACTTTATTCCCTATAAATTATTTTAAAATGCCATATAAATAAAACCATGCTTTATTAAACCGTCAGATATGACGTTAGAGAAACTGCATTTAACCTATTTACAGTCTTTTACTGTCATCATTTGAAAAAACAAACAAAAATCTGATCTGATCACCTGCAATTAACAGATCTTAGCTCAGAAACCAATGTTTGGCTCCGCTCATTATTGACCTCAGTAAGTGGGTTACTTGACTGGAATTAGCGAATGACTTAATCGAGTGATTCGGAGTGTAAATAACACAACTGCGGTGTCCCTCCTCGCTCTCCGCTGGCTGATCCACCTCGAGCTTCTTGATCCAGAGAAAGTGACCTGATTACCTCAGAGAGTCTTGCTGTACAAACACACATAAAACACACATCGACACACAACAAACACACATCCACACACATCGACTCACATCCACACACGTCAACACACTTCAACACACTTCAACACAGCCCATTTAATCTGTTCAAAAACGAATTGCCAGCAGCATTAAATCAGTCTCACTGTTTCGGTCACTGTGTGGAAACATCCCAAAATAAAGCCGATCAAATCAAGACTGGAGGCCTGTACTATAACTAGAGAATAGAATAATACAAGATTTTTCTTTGTTTTGATATCATTGCTATATATCGGCCATTAGCAGCCCATATCAGTTGACCATGAGATGACACATATGGTTTGTATTTATCAAAGTATTTATTCTTTAAAAGTGGATAACGATTAAAGCAAAGAGCAATTTAAAATCACACCAATATCAATAGAACAAGAAAAACAAGCCAAATATAAAGATCAGACAGTCTTTAAATGACTTTACATATGAAATAATAGTCAGTACCTCCAGGAAGTTTAACACAAATCAAATCAGTCTTTCCAATCAGCAGCCCCAAACGCAAAACACTGAGCCATACATCACCAACTACTTGCAATTTTACCCTCACTGGAACAAGTTGACTCTGCTTTTTTATCAATTGTACCAAAAAATGCAACAGTTTTTTGCAGTGTTCACTTTCTCCTGCAAATCGGCAATCTGCAGCACTTATAGGCTGCAATTATCCCCCAAAAAAAGGGTTAAGAGAAAATTTTATTTAAAAAAAAAAAAGGAAAAAAATAAAAAAAAAAAAAAAAAGGTCAAACAATGTCAAATGTGATATACTTTAATTTTGTTGACTTTATGGAAGAAAATCTAGTTCTGATGAGTCTGATGTCGGTGGGTTTGATGTTCCAGACATAAGTTCTCTAAAGAACAGTTCTCAGCATATAATACCAAGCAAATATAGAATGGAGGACAACTGACTCCTGGTCTTCTATTGATGAGGTTAAACTATATAAGTGTCTTTGTTTTATTTATTTGGATCCACTTTAGCTGAAACTAGCGTAGCAGCTACTCTGTTAAAACCTTTGCCTTTGTCTCCTCTCAGAAACTGAAGGACGTGGAGTCCATCATTAAGATCGTGGAGTTGAACGGAAACGACTTGGTGAAGGATTACTCAGATGAAATCGAACGAATGTTGGGAAGCAAGATGAAGTCAGTGAAGGTGAGAACAAAGAGTCTCCTTCAACCTTAGATGTGTGTTTAACAGGATGGAAGGCTGCGTAGATCGGTGCCGTTATCAGCTGCTCGTATTAAATCCATTAATGTGTTTGAACTCCATGAAGTAAGAGACAGAGGAGGAGTCAGATCGAAGCAGTAGATGCTGAAGCTTCTTGACTTTGAGTCCCTAATGTGTTTTTAGCTCTTTCATGCTAAGTAAACACACATCTATCAAATCTAATCTGTGATCCGAACTGCCTCCTACATCCTACACGACAAACTCTCAGTAGTAAGCAGTACGAAAGGAGGTCGTCAGATACCGATGCTTTCAGTGTAGGAATGAGTCTCAACAGAAAGACTGACCCTGCCTTTAATACATGCATACTCAGTTTGTAATACTGTAAATATCGTGAAACTTCAATTAAAAACAGGGTCCCAATTAGACATAGGTCTCCCCTACTGGCCTGGTGTCTCAATTAGTGGCCTGGTCTGGATTTTAGAAGTTTTTTGGATCTATAAAACCTCTTAAAACCCACTGGGTCGCCCGCTTGAGTGAGTTTCAAGCTGTTTAGATCACCTACACAAATATAAAGGTTTAATCTTTTGTCAAATTATTAAATGAATGATTCATAATTGATATTTTAAAGTGATTTTAATAGTGGTTTAAATAAACAGTTTGATAGAGTTGTGTACAGTGATTGAAGCAAATTAAAGCCTGGGCTATTAATTAAAGTTTAAGAGTACATAAATATTAAAATAGTTTCATCAGTGGCCATTCTGCGGGCTGGATGTGGTTGAATAACCGGCATTAGGACATCTTCGTATCCTCGGCATGCTGCAGATTTTGCTTTTGTGGTGGTGGTTATGGGTTGCTTTATCTTATCTGATTGCTGACTCGTGTAAAACTGGTGCAGTGCCCCTTTTAAGACCACTGATATGAAATACTGACTTTTAACAGAGTTCCTGGATATTTAGAGACTTGTTTTCCAGACATGGAAACACCTGGAGATTGATTAAAATGAATGAAAATATCCTGGAAATAATTCATGTTGTTGTTATGTATTGAAGCCCCTCACTCAGATCCCTATGTAAACGCTATGATTCCAGCAGCTACCTGTAATGAACTTGCATCATTAAAAAAGGAGGAATAAAATTGGTAAATTTTATGACTGTTTGTGAGAAATTGTCCCATATTGTCAAGAAAACTTGTGGAAAATAAATTAAAACTTATTCAAAAATGAAACAATGTGAGAAGGTTTTAAGGCTCTAACACTCCGGTTGCTCTCCGTCTGATGTAACCGGTGAATTAAACATTACTTCTTTTTATGGGGTCACAATCCTGAAAAGGTTTGTAATGGCTGCATTAAAGGATTATTATAACGTTGCTTTTGTTCTCCGTTTCAATCCGTGCGACTCATTCAGACTTCTGTGTTGTGTTTCTTTGCTTCAGAGGTTAGCGGAGTCTGCAGAGGACGCCGATCTGTACCACGAGTTCAACGCTTCATTAATGGTTGGTGCTCCTGTTTTATCCTGTTACATGTTACAGTACAGGCAGCCATTAGTGTTTATTTGTTTCACTCCGAACTGAAACCTGCAGAAGTTAATCCCTCAACAGTTTAATTGGTCTTAGCCCCCGGTGTGCTTTGGCTCAGCTGAATGCTAACGTTAGCATGCTAACTCTCTGTGCTGGACGCTGCAGCAGATTGAAGCTTTAAAGCTTCAGCCGACACCTGAATTTAGATCAGGTCAAACTTCACTGATCCTGTGAGGAAACTGGGTCGACACAGACACACGGGATGAACACAGGAAGTTTGTTTCTTTGTTGCGGTGCTACTTCCGGCTACGTTGGGAACTTTAACATTATCAGTGGTTTGAAACAAGAAATCCACAGAAGCCTTTATTTGCTGAGTCAGCACTATCGGATCATCCACACGGTGTGACACAAACTGTTTCTAGAAATCTGTTGTTATTTGCATTTATGGGACAAAATAAGAATATATTATCACTGTATGTTTCACTAAATGGTCCGTTACAGCTAATTAAAAGCAGATAAAGGTGTCCTGAGCCACGTCTTTGTTTTATACTTTAATAAATGATCGTGGAAAGTTTTCAGGTAATTCAGCTAAGTCTAACATTTGACCTTTTCCAACCACTGACTTTATCTTTGACTTTACCAGAGTTGGTAAAAGGTGTGAGCAAGGGCTTTGAAATATACAGGCAACCTTTTAAAGGACCAGTCTGTAGCATTTAGCGGCATCTAGCGGTAAAGTTTCAGATTGCAACTAATTGAAACCCGCTGGCGTCCGTATGTGACGGCCTGTGAGGTGTGTAGGAGAAACTACGGTGGCCACAAAGCTCGCAAAAGACAAATGCAGACTACCACCACCTGCTGGCATGGACTTCAGTATTAAATGGAGAAATGTTTAATTACCAGTTAAGTGGTATGTTAATGCAGTTGTATGTCATTTATTTACCAAAGTTCTTATTTTGGAGGGACACCATGTTGTCTTCAGGTTGTTTAAGGTTGTTAATGGCGACGCCTGTCGGTTGAGGATTAATATTTGAAAGGAAGCTCTTGACGCCCTCTTCCTGTGTCCTGTCAGTTCGACTACTACAACTCCATGCTGATCAACACGGTGGACGAGGACGGGAACAACGTGGAGCTGGGCGGAGAGTTTGCTCTGGAGGAGAACGAACACTTCAACAACATGCCAGTGAACACGCTGCAGAGCGACATCCAGATTCCCACCAACGTCTACAACAAAGGTCAGACGCTGTCTCTCGCTGTTGTCTTCGGCGGTTTCCCGTGAGCTTCACCCTCGGGTGTGACTCGGTTCTGTTTCTGTGTGCAGATCCCAACATCCTCAACGCCATCTACAACTCGGAGGCGTTAAACGACGTCTTCATCCTTAACTTCCAGAAGGACCCGACGCTCACCTGGCAGTACTTCGGCAGCTCCACCGGGTTCTTCAGAATCTACCCCGGTGAGAGAAGAGCTGAGTTCACACTGCAAGCCTCAGCGCTCAGTCATAGGCCTTTTTCACAGCAGCCATTTTGACATGAAATAGTAGGGTAAACTCAGGCGTTACCAAGTAGCACCCTGTGTGTTTACCCCACTGTTTCAGGTCAAAAAGGCTGCTGCAGGAGGCCAGCAGATTCGTGAGGAGATGATAACGAGGACAATGAGACACATGTTTCTATTTTATACATTAGAATTAATAATTTATATTTATTGAGTTTTAACTGTCGGCACTAAGACACGAAGGTAAACATGAACCGACTCCTTGTCTCTCTGTCAGGTATTAAATGGACTCCAGACTCCAACGGTGTGGCAGCTTTTGACTGCAGGAACAGAAACTGGTGAGTTCAGTCCAACAGGTTCACACACACACACACACACACACACACACACACACACACACACACACACACACAAAGTTTACAGGATGAATCTGTTTTACAAAAGACAACAATAACTTATTTTATTGCCTTCAGTCGACATTATGAGCAGAAAAGTGTATTTTTATTATCCTCGTAATATTAAATATCTGCTGTTCTCTGTTTGTTGATCTTTACCATGTTGCATGTTATAAAAGACAAATTTGCATTTTCAAAGCAGAACAGAATAAAGTTTCTATCTGCAATGTTCATATATTTTATTTGGACCATCCCTCATCCCTACATAGAGACACATAGAGATCAGTCCACAGACAGCAGAGGGACAAAGCTACACTACAACCCGTTCACTTATTGGGAATGAATGCATGAATACATAAAAATAATTCTGTTTATAATCTTACAGATGGAACCTTTAAAGTGCTAATTACAAACTCTAACCTCAATAAGAATCGGCACCTCTGACAGTAAAAACAACATTAAAAACTTCACTAACTGTTAAATTCTGGGATATTGTGTTTTAAAGAGTCTCTGCCTATTTTCCGTATAACAACAGAAATTAGCACAATACAAATAAAGGATAAACTGCGGGTGTAATGCTGAGTTTCAGTCAGTCTGAGGCGCCGTCCTGCTGGCTGTGTGTCGGCTGAGCAGCGGCCAGCCAGAGTCCTGATCCTCTGCAAAAGACGATAAGCTGCTCCTTAGCCGGGTCACCGCAGCCCACATGGCACCATATGTGACTGTTCATGCATTTCTGAATAATACCAGAGAGCTGCATATGTCCCTGAACGCCCCGCCACGCCGCATTACTGCAGCTGAGCTGGAAAAGCTGCAGTAATGCATCTGCTGGGAGAAACTGCAACTCCGAGTGACACGTTTTCACTTGTGCATGTCAATAATGTGGAGTCACATCTGATCAGCTCTGAAACAAAATCATGTTTAAGATCACCAAAAAACGAAGGATTAGCTCTTTAAATGTATAATATATTATATTAAGAGCTGCAGATACACTCCTGTATGTAAGACTGTAAGTGGTTGAGTTTAAAATGAGTTAATGTCCAATAAAAGAGATTTTTCTATAAAAAAAACAGGAACTTCTTGAATTGTGTCTCAATTTATTGGATAATTTAATTTAATTTTAATTTTAATTTCAGTCTCCATTTACTCTGTTTTAATAAATGCAATAAAGAGTGTAACATATGTGAATAAGTAATCAGCGACTGTCATGTTGTGTTCAGGTACATCCAGGCAGCCACGTCTCCCAAAGACATCATCATCATGGTGGACATCAGCGGCAGCATGAAGGGGCTGAAGATGACCATCGCCAAACACACCATCAACACCATCCTGGACACGCTGGGAGAGAACGACTTCGTCAACGTCATCGCTGTGAGAAACACACACACACACACACACACACACACACACACAGTGTCACATTACATCAGTGACAGAGGAAGAAGTCAGAGCCTTTATTGAAACGTGCTACAAGGTTTCCCCTTGAAATCAGTGAAACAAGGTGGTGGAAATTCCTTATTTTGTCCACAGGGGGTCGCCAGAATCAATACAAAATGAAAAGTCCTTGTTGGACTTTAAGTAAAATTAATACCACGCAGCAGCCGTAGGTTCGAATCCGACATTCTCTCTCTCTCTCTCTCTCCCCTTTCTTGTCACTCTGCAGCTTTCATTATCAATTAGAAAGCAATACAAGCCTCAAAAAGTATTGTAAGTATGGAAGTATAAAACTGACTGACGTCAAGTTGACAGATCTTATTAATTTCTTTTTATTTTAACGCCTACAGTCTTCAGTTTTTCCTCTTAAAAAATACAACCATTCTCTGTTTGTTGATCTTTATCATATTTCATGTTAAAACACACAAATCTTCTTGGTACTAAAGATGTTTCTGTCTTAAAGTAAATCAGTCTCTGCACATTTTTATATTTTGGGAAGAAACATCAAACACTGGAAAACTGCATTTGCAAAGTGCAACAGAATAACATTACTATCTGCAATGTCCCTTTATTTTATTTGGACCATTGACTCGACACTTTAGTATAACTTCTATGGAATACTATCGTTACAGACATTTTCAGTTAAACATTGTGACGTCTTTTGAGTCCGGGACCGCTGATTTCTGATTAGGTGGGCTTGTAGGATAAATCTTTAGACACGTAATCAAACCATAATCAATACATACAAAAAACAATGTGACGGCACTAAAAGGGCTCCATTCTGTCTTATTATCATTTCGTCTTAATCGTCTGTGAAGCACTTTAAACTACAGTAAACTGTATAAAGGTGTTATACAAGTAAAGTTTGATTGATTGATTGATTTATTGAAGTATTGAACCTGTGTCCTCCTCTGTGCAGTACACGGACTACGTTCGGTACGTGGAGCCGTGCTTCAAAGGAACTCTGGTCCAGGCCGACTTGGACAACAGAGAGGTAAGACCATTATCTGCATCATGGAGGCTTAAAGAGCACACACACACACACACACACACACACACACACACACACACACACACACACACACACAAGACGCACGCACACAACACACACACACACACACACACACACACACACACACACACACACACACAGGAATTCCCTCAACGTCAAATCGACCTCCTGGCCTACTTCCTGCAGTGTACAGAACTTTAATCTTCGTGGGGACCAATGAGAGGGTGAGGATATCTCTGGACTGTGAGTTTGTCTTTAAATGGCTGAGTGAAGGTTAAGACTTTGTTTTAGGGTTAATGTTAAGAGGACCGGAGGAACTTTTTAAAATAGTTTTAAGAACAGTCGGAGGTCAACAGTTTGTTTTTGTGTGTTGTTTGTGAGTTTTTTGTGTTATTTTAGTTTTTTAATTTTTTATTCAATTCAATTCAGTTTAGTTTCAGTTAGTTTCCTGACTAATTGTTTAAAATTTTTTAGTTTTGATCAGTTCCAGTTAGAGATGTCCCAATCCAATCCGAGTCATTAAGTATCGATAGATTAAAGTTATTCAAATCAATCCAATGTATATGGTTGATAATTGAATAGCTCAGCATTGCATTAAGAAATAAATGTTACACAGATACACAGAGCAGAGTGGAGGACAGAGACAGCGAAGAGAGTCAATCAGATCGGGTCAATAAAGCTTGATATAGCCGATACCAATCAGTTAAAAAATGATATGCGCCAATCGTTGAGATTGGATTGGGACATCCCTAGTTCCAGTGTTAGTTATAATAGGAGGTATTTGTCAGACATCCAAGTCTCAATAAACTTAAGCTCCAACGCCTCCTGATGCTTGTGTTAACAAATTTGACCAAACTGACAAAAACTAAAACAAAAAACATTTCTGCTAGATTTTTATTTTAAGTTCATATTTCAGTTGACTGAAGTTATTTTTCAACCTTAGTTTTAGTTAAATATATAACGACCTTGGTTCATACTGCAGGAACTAGAAACAAGCGTAGTTCCTAAAACGCCGTTTTTAGGAACTTTTTTTAGCTCCTACGTCAGAGTAAAAACTCTTTTACCGCTTGAGGGACGAAGTGTCAGTGGTCCGTTTTGTATTTCACTTTAGATCATTCGTTCCCAACCCGGTAGTCCCCCGGCACCAAAGCTTTATGGGGGGTTGTGAGACCGTCTTAATTTTAAGAGGTGTAAGAAAACCTTTTTTTAAAATACATCTCAACATTTCTGTGATGAAAACTGAATCAAATCTTTTTTATTTTTTATTTACGATATAAACTCACAGAAGATATCCTGTAAGACTGTTTGCTTTACACTGTTGTATTTCCCCTGAAATATTTTGTTTACACGCCAGAAAACTACAATAAGACAACATTAAAGTTAGTTACCTTTGAACGCAGCGCTGTGTGTTTCTCTCTCTCACCCTCGATAACATGAAGTTGTCGCACAAACGTAGCTCTCCTTTTTCTCCTCTTCCAACCACATACTCCAAATTCATTATTAACCATTAAACCCACGACACAGAACAAACACAGCTCCGACCACGGCCTCCTCCATCTCGTTGTATTGTTGTCATAAACAGGACGTTGCTGTAATAACCAGCTAATTGTGTCTATTGGCGGCAGGAGTTCTCCAGGGAGAACAGACCTGCTGCTGTTCAATGATTTTTTTCAGTGCTTTTTAAACCATAAATAAAAACCCCTTCCCCTCCATTATGGGTGTTAGACAAATATCTTAAAAGCTGGACAAATAAAACCATCTTCATGTCATTACAATATAATCTGTATGTTCTGTATAATCTGTGTATTCTGTATAATCTGTATATTCTGTATAATCTGTATATTCTGTGTAATCTCTCTCTCTCTGTCTCTCAGCACTTTAAGATGCTGGTGGAGGAGCTGCATGTTAAAGGAGAAGCAAAGATCAAAAACGCCATGAAGGAATCCTTCAAAATCCTCAACGAGGTTTGTGTCCTAAACAGGAGATAATGAAACTCAACACTATAAGACTTTAACGCTCTGTGTAAAGTCAAATATTGATTAAATTGGCACCACTGTTTCTGTTGATTCTTACATAGGATGTTACAAAACATTTAGCTTAAGAAGATGATAACAATAAGACGGTACGCCACAGCAGTTTCTACAACCAGCTGACACTATAACACGTTCATACCTGGTAGTATTATTCCTCCTGGGGGATTTTAGAACTGACCTATATGTGAGCAGGACACACACTGTTACTTCCCTGACTGAGTGGGAATCTGATGTTTTCACATCACAGATGACCAAAAAAACACAATGTCAGAGAAAGTAAAAGTGTGCCTCCTGCTCACATCACAGAGAGTCTCGCTGGGACAAACGGACTCAATGTTTTTTGTGCAAATAAATTGATTAATTAGTGAATAACGTTTGCCGGATTTACAAGAATGTCCAAATAATTAAGAATATGTTGTATACAGCTTTCCACAAAGTTTATAAAGTTTTCCTCGCTCGACAACTCTTTAAAATGCGTGATTTTTAAAGGGAGTCTGGGGATATTGCGGTTACTTGTTCATCGGTTGAAACAGCGTGTTCACAAACTTCTGCTGCAGGTAAAAGAGCACAAGCAAACAAAATGGAAATCAGACAGCGAGAGTGACACCTGTACTTAGAGCTGTCCACTTGTGCTGAGATCACTCAAGAAGCATGTTAATATGACATCTAAACAGGACCACAGTGAACCTGGAGCACTTTAACTGTCCCCGCTTTGGCCGTGACATAAACACTGACTCTAAAAATAAATCATAAGAATTCAGGTTTTCTGGACTCAAATCTTGAATTGATTGAGACTTGATTGATTGAGTATAGCTGGTTCTCACATTGTGTTTTAAATGAAGTGGACTGCAGTAAACTCTCTGTAAAGTGTGTGTGTTTGTGTGTGCAGGCGAGGGTGAACGGTCAGGGCAGCATGTGTAACCAGGCCATCATGCTGATCACAGACGGAGCCATGGAGGACTTTGAGTCTGTGTTTGAGGAGTTCAACTGGCCCGATCGCAGGGTGAGAACCGGGGCTAAGGCCCGGAGAGGATGTCACAACCTTTGACCCTCATCCCTACATAGAGACACATAGAGATCAGTCCACAGGCAGCAGAGGAACAAAGCTACACTACAACCCGTTCACTCTCTGCTGATAAACACTGATTCATTTATAGAAATAAAATGTAAAATGCTTCATTCATTTCTGCTCAGGTGCGAGTTTTCACCTACCTGATCGGCAGAGAGATGACCTTCGCTCAAAACACCAAGTGGATCGCCTGCAACAATAAAGGTCAGCGGTGTGTGTGTGTGTGTGTGTGTGTGTGTGTGTGTGTGTGTGTGTGTGTGTGTGTGTGTGTGTGTGTGTGTTTACCTGTGTTTCCGTGTGTTACCTCAGGTTACTACACACACATCTCCACGCTGGCCGACGTGCAGGAGAACGTCATGGAGTACCTGCACGTGCTCAGCCGACCGATGGTCATCAACCACGACCATGACATCATTTGGACGGAAGCCTACATGGACACTGTGGTGAGCCGAGCCGGCCAATCAGAGAGCTCGTGTTTGGATCTGAGATATGATGTGTTTCACCATTTCTTGGGGTCGGGGGGGGACTTTCTCCTTTATGTCAACATACTGTACATCTTCATCATCATCTTCATCATCACTTCACCTTCATCTGTCTGTCTGTGTTTCTGCTCATTCTCCCATGATCCTCTGGGCCTTTCCCTCCACATCGCTCCGGCAGCTTCCCAACACCAAGGAGGTAAAGAAGGAGAAGAAGAAGTTGTAGTTTTTAGATCAGTTCTATATAATATGTAGTTTTTTTATTTCATTTAAAATAATGTTTTAATAGAAGTGGTTGTACAAAAACACAAAAACATACAAATACAAATTATCATGGTCGTCATATTTTGGTATTTTTTATCCTCAAATCCTCAAAAACAGGTAGAAAATAAATAAGTTATAAATAAAATAAACATTAATAACTGTTATAAAATAGATTTAAATTGCTTCATGTGAAAATTAACTACTAGTTGATATTTTTATTTACACATTTTAGCAACTGAAAAAAACAAATACTTTGTGTATGCTGTAAGCAGGAGCGTGTACAGAGCGTGGCCACCCCATTATCCTTCCCTCTAGTCTTCCAGAGGCTGCAGTGGTCTCCATTTTAAAGCTAAAGTTAAGATACTGATATCATATGAAACTAAATGACCGAACACATCCGTTGGTACCAACTGTGTCGGGAAAGGAGATTAAATAACGCTTTAAATAAGGCAACAGATGGAAAAACTGGCAAGAGATCCCTTAACCTTTGACCTTGATCTGAATAAAAATAGGTTCTGTTGGTACCCACAATTCTCCCCTGTACTGACACGCCCATTTTATGCTAATCTCATACCGTTTTTGTGAGTGTATTCAGATATTTCTGCACACTGAGGTCCAGAAACAGTGTTGGAATTATATAAACTGGGAACAACTGAGTCACAAACTTCATACCACCCCTGTATGAGTCACTGCCCCTCTTGTGCCACCCCAATTAAAACAGTATACCTCTGGCTGTATGTATAATAGTGCTCAGCATCCAATTAAAGGAAAAACATTCAGTACAAATACGAGTGGTCTTATTTAGAGAGAAGCTCTGTGAGTCAACGTAAGATAACCCTCCCAGGACCTCCACCACAGACATTAATCAATAACATAGAACCTGTATCAGTATACAATAACTAGATTCATTTGTCAGAGACACTAAGATAATATATCTGACAGCTGAGGGCTTCAATAAGAGAACTGAAGCAGATATTTCAAATGCAAAAAGTAACTTAACACAAATAATTACTTTCCTATGCAGTAAACTGCAGTAAAAAGAGAGAAGTTCCTGATTTTAAATTTACATTAACACACATTAATGTTATTCCCTGAGCTCCTGGAGGGACCGATTGTACTGCAGCAGTCCGTCAGCGCCACCTGGAGGTCGACCTCAGAGCTGTTGCACTTTGCATTTAGTGTCACAATAAATATTATGATCTGTGTATAGAGAAGAAAGAATACGCTTTATATTATATAGAAATATAACAAGAACACCAGGACAAAGTCAGCCTCTCTCTAAAGATATTATAATATAAGATTGTAAGGTGTTCCTGTTATTTTGTCCACTCAGTGAGATTGTTTGAGGCTCGTCAGTTGTAGTTTCATCGGTTACAAACAACTCAGACAATAAACTAACATAATACAACTTGATAAAAGTGCTCCGGAGTCTAAAAATCAGGACTCACAGACAGAAATAACAATAAAAAACAGAAATAATTAAGATACAAATGCAGGTTAAAAACAATCTGCTGACGCTGTGCGCCTCCATTTACCTTTAATAATCTCTTCCTTGGTTCATCATTCCTGTTTATTTAAGTGTTTATAAAAATGTGTTTTGCTGTTTCAGCTCTTCACCACCAAAGCTCAGAGTCTGCTGCTCATGACCTCGGTGGCCATGCCGGTCTTCAGCAAGAAGAAAGAGACGGTCAGTCGGTCACCTCAAGTACAATGTGTTTATATACATACTGTAAATACAGTATATCACATTAACTGTAACCACAAACATTAAGAATGAAGTACAATGTGATTCTTTACTCAAGTAAAAGTGAAAATGTACTCTGTTCTACGTCTAAATAATTAACTGACGATTCCCTCAAACGCATTAAAACTGAAGTAATTAACCTGTTTTTAATTCTAAGCTGCAGAAAGTTCAAATATTTGTGTAACAATGTTAGAAATAAAAGTAAAAAAGTCCAAAAGATCCAAATATTCCGGTATTTGTTACTTCCCAACCTCTGAATATGTACTATGTGAGTGAAATATCCCATTAAATATTAGATTTTACTGTGATTACATTTTGTGTAGACGTGTAACTAACGTAAATAAATGAATTACAATAAAGTGAAATGTATCTAAATGCCTCCACACAGGAGCACAACAACAGAACCAACAGACAGCATTGTGTTTATACACTTAAAATCCTAAAATCTACAGTATTTTCACTTTCATCTAAAACAACTTTTTAATGGATAATATAACCATAAATATTAGATTATAATGTGAATGGATTAATGGAAATATACCTGACTTTGTTGTTGATATCTGCTTTATATTATATATTATGAACAGCCAGTTAAAAACCTCTATTTAATTAACAACCAGCTGTGTAAACAAACAGGATGTGATGGAGGGGATTTCCCTCCTGAGGTGCAGATCTTTGACAGTCACAAATAATAAAACAGATTAAAACTGAATATAATGAAGTATTATTATAGTGACCCTGCTTCCTGCCTCTCTCCAGCTGTCCCACGGGATCCTGCTGGGCGTGGTCGGCTCCGACGTCCCGCTGTTGGAGGTGATGAAGCTGGCGCCCAGATACATGGTGAGCTCCAGGTCACACACAGATTTCACAATAAAAGCTTTAAATGTCGACATCCGCCTGAGCTCTGTGTGTGTGTGTGTGTGTGTGTGTGTGTGTTTCTTTCTCTCCTCCACAGCTGGGAGCTCACGGCTACGCCTTCCTCATCACCAACAACGGCTACATCCTGGCTCACCCTGACCTTCGACCTCTGGTGAGTCCACGACTGCAGAAGACAAATTTAGCTGAAGAGCCGCAGTGGCTCTGATTTACTAGCTCTCTATTTAAAGTAAGAGATCCTGAAGGGTACATTAAAGGGGAGAGGTATTAAGTATTTATGAGGACAGTTGTACAGTATTTCACACACACACACACACACACACACACATACACACACACACACTCACAGTAACAGTGTGTCCTCTGTCCTACAGTATAAAGATGGAAAGAAACTGAAGCCGAAGCCAAACTACAACAGTGTGGATCTGTCTGAGGTGGAGTGGGAGGATACAGAGGAGAAAGTAACGTTTAAATTTACTTTACACAGACTCACCTTCATTTCCTGTTGACTTACACTCTAACTAAAACCACTGACCCCCAAAAAATCTGCCTTTTTCTAAATTGGGGACACGGCCTTTTTGTCCCTTTCTAAGTCCCGCCCCTTTTTGGAGCCTCAGTCAACGTCCTCCTTTCCTGTATGCTACGTGCTAGGCTAATCTATGTTGAAAAGACAACCACATTTTGTTCAAAGATATAAGCGACATACCGGAAAACTTCCAATAAAAGCAGCGTCCCTAATAGACGCAGGTCTCTTTTAAAAGCCTGGTGTGGCTACAGGTTTTGACAAATAAACGCAGGTCTCCAATAGAGGCCTGGTCTGGATTTTATAGAAATTATCTCGATGTATAAAACCTCTTAAAACCACCGGGTCGTTTCAATCTCCTACACAAATATAAATGTTTAAACTTCTGTCAGTATGTACATAATGAACATCGTTAGATCGGTTATAGATTATCCACAATTCAATCGTTCAATATATTTTACGAAAAACTATCAACAAAGTAAAACATTAATTCTGAGTTACCGGTAACACGGTTAACAAGAGAGACGGAAAGAAACTAGTCCTCATGTTAGTTGAAATTTGTAAACAATTAGAGTTTAGTTTAGTTTTTGAAAAAGGAATTAAAGGCCTGTCCCAAATAAAGGCAGGGGGAGTTCAGTGATTTAAGCAGATAAACGCCTGGGCTATTATTAGAAGTTTTACGGTATATATATATGTTTATATATATATAGTCACATCTTAAATAAACTAATGTTATATAGCAAAATGCTATAACTAGCTAGCTAATACATAAATGGTTAGCTAGCTAGTTAGCTAGTGTCTTGCTCAGGATTTGTCTTCAAATGTACGGGGCGATTTAAAACACGACGTGTGTTGAGCTATTTCCTGGCCACAAAATGCAGATTTTCATAAATTTGGTAATAATGTAGATTAGCTAGCTAGTTAGCTGAGGTTTTGCTCTGTAGCAAAATGCATGCTAACGAGCTAGTGTTTTCCTAACATTAGTTAACTTAAGATGTGACTACATTCTGTATATCTGTCGCTTTTATCTTTTATCCATCTTCAAACTGTAAACTAATGGATTTTGCTACAGAGACCATTAGTAGCTAACTAACTAAAAAGTGTCCTGTAGTCTGAATCTGACACAAGAGGAAGAAACTAATTTGACTTTGTATTAAACTCGTAGCTGAGAACAGCCATGGTGAGAGGAGAGACTGGCAGCAGCAGCCTGAACATCAGAGCCTCAGTGGATAAAGGGGTGAGTCACAGCATCTTAATATAATCCTACAGATTAGAAACTGATTAAACAAAGCAGAATAACTGGAATCAAACACAACCTGTAGTTATTACCAAGCAGAAGAAGAAAAACTCTTCTCTGATTGGTCTTCATTAGGTTGCCAGTTGTTGTGCTTTTAAAATGTCAGTTTGTCTGAACACAGCTGGTTTCTGTCACACGTATCAGACGAGCTGAAGGCGCTTCATAAACCCGGTTCCTTTCTCCTCCGACAGAAACGACCTCTGTTCCTCGTCAACGAGTACTTCTACACAAACATCGACGAGACACCTTTCAGGTAACTCATAGAGGGTTTAGAGGATCTGCTGCATTTTAAGCAAAACATGAATTCAAACAAAAACAACGACCTGGAAAACCTGGAAATTGGAAACACTAGTTTTCCAGACATTTTGGGGTTCATGGCTCACTGTGAAGGTTTTTGAAATGCAGAGTTTTTAGTTTCCAGACCGGCTGACGGACGCTGAGACAGATTCTTCAGTAAACTGCAGCTCACAGCCGCCTTCTTTTAAAATCGAGTGAATTTTGAACTGACTGTGGTTCGTGACATTTAGATTAACTTCTAATCAGACAGATGGAAGTGATTCACATCCTGGAAAACCTTTAGACGCCAGTTTTACAGTCATGGAAACACCTGGAAATTGATTAAAATTATCAAAAATTCTGGAGATAGTCTTTGTTGTCCTGGAATTCTTTTATTGTATTATAGCCCCTCATTAACATCAACCTAAGTTTGTATTTAGTTTGAGACTCGACTGTTGGTAGGATAAAATGGGTTTTCTTTCTGGAGCATAACTCTCATAGAGGTCATAACTTTGAGAAAGGTTTTTAACAATAAAAGTCAGGATGAGGGAAGTTGTACAGACAGCGAACTCCTTCGCTCTCTAGAAGATTAATTTATTGTAAAATAAAAGATTCTACTTGATTTGAAGGGCTGTGGCTAATTTAATGACATAAAAGTGGGGTTAAATGTGTTGATAGTAGTCTGTTTGGGAGCAAGTGCTGTCCTGTAAATAACTCCTGGATAAAGTCCTGGAAAGGTCCTGGAAAATGCAGTGTAGAGTACTATTAGATTCAAGGTTACTGTATTTGTTAAAGCATTCCTTTTGACAGAAATATAAAAACAACTCAGACAATAGACAAACATAATGTAATAATAAATAAATAAAGATAACAGATACAAGTTCTCCAGGATTTATATTAACCATTAGAATAAATCAGAGAGAAATTGAGGTAAAGACAAGAAAAACTGCTGGAAAAAAAGCTGTTTTGTTTTACATCTTTGGAGTTTTAATCTCAAAAGGTAAAATATTAAAGGAAGGATGTTTGTAATGTGTCAGCTTGTGTCAATAAAATAATATTCAAACATATTCAGTATGTCAGTATTGTGTATGTGTGCGCTTCGACCACCAGAGGGCAGCGTTTCACTCTGTTTATTGTTAAACGCAGACGTTCAGTCGGTCTCTCCTCTGTGTCTCTGCAGCTTCGGCATGGTGCTGACGAGGGGTCCCGGACAGCTGATGTTCATGGGGAATGTGTCTGTGGAGGAAGGTAGGATAATCCCCTGCAGCACAGACCCTTTTAATCAACTGCTGACGATTAATCGACACCCTCGACCCAAACTTGTTTATTCGTGCACAGAAATACAACCTCATCTCCACGGCAACACGTATAGATGTTTTGGAAAATTGATTAATTGGTATTTTCTAATGTATCTCAGATAAAATGACCTTTTATGCTCCTGAGATTGATGTGAATTTAACATTCATCCAACTTTTAACTTTAACTTTAAAAACATTTAATTAATTAAATAATTAATTAACTATTTTCTTTCATATTCGTGTATAAAAAGTGGAAAAAAGTAAAAGAAAACAATTATTGTTATACGTTCTGAACGCCTTTTATGAGGTTATGGTAATCAAAATTTCACACTTTTAATATTATTGATTATCTGTAGACTATAGGCCTCTAAACATGTATATATCTGTGTTTAATTATCCCTGTTTTATACCTTTTTTATATTTTTATTTAATTATCTGAGCTGTTTAAATATAATCCATTATTTTATCAACAAAAACATATAAAATCATCCCTAAGAAACAATATTGTGCCCCCCCATTTAAGAGCTTACGTAAGAGGAAGTAAAACTGTTTGTGTTCCTCTGCAGGTCTGCACGATCTCACCTCCCCAGACCTCAGCATCGCCTCTGAATGGTACGTACGCAGCGGATGTTTTAACCTTCAGTTTATATCTGCTGACCACACAGAAATGTCTGCCCCCCGCCCCCCCCGGACCAGCCCTGATCACATAGATCAGCAAATAATGTCGTATATCTTAGAGCCGTAGGAGATTTAAAGTCTTTCCCTTCCCGTATTAACCTCCCAGCAGCATCCAGCAGGTTTCTGTGCTGGACTTTAATAAACCTCTTTTCCTCAGGACGTACTGCGAGACGGACATCGACCCCGGCCACCGGAAATACTCTCAGCTTCAGGCCGCCATCCGCTACCTGCTGGGGAAGGAACCCGACCTCGAGTGTAGGTTTTTTTCCCACCCCTCCTGAAGAACCTGATACACTGCTAGGTCTTCTGTTACATTATATGACAAACCCCTGGAAAAGGTCCTGGAAAAGGTCCTGGAAAATGATTTCTTAAAACCCCGATTATGTCCTTCCTTACATTTGTCTCCACCTTTTTAAATCACGTATACGTTGATGAAACTGTCTGAATCTGTCTCAGAAGAGAAGTTGTTGCTCAGAGTGACAGAGTTTAAAAACGACCTGTCCGTCGCCTAGGTGACGAGGTGTTGCTGCAGCAGACGCTGTTTGACGCCGTGGTAACGGCGCCGCTGGAGGCCTACTGGAACGCCCTGATGCTCAACGACAGGTGAGACCCGACACACTTTGTATTTTAGTGTCTGAAAAAGGGTCAGTGCTTGGATTTAACCTGTGAAACCATTTTTATAGACTTTCTCCTGTAAGTTTCACAGGATTTAAGTTATAATTATGGTTGGAAATCCTGTTTTATATTTGGATATAAATGTAACTATTGATGAAGAGGCCAGACAAGAACATCTTCTTTAAAATGACATTTTGTTTAAACACCAAAAACTATTTATCAAATAGATAATATTCAATGAGACCTCGCATCATTTCCATAATTTAATGGTAAACAAGATAAAAAGTCATAATACAAAAAAGAAGTCTTGTATTTGTGTTTCATGCTGATGGAATTTAAAGTCTTTGTACAATACTACTCTGGGTTAGACTGATATATGTGAACATTTACATGAATTATTGGCCCTTAATTCTGAAATATTTCCTTGAAAAGTTCTTAAAATGTATCCTGACAGAAGGAGTGGAAACGCTGCATATAAATGAATAACTGCTGTAAAAGAAACACTGCTGTTGAGTTTCTCTGCTGCGACCTTCGTAAATAAAACTGTTCCTGTTTGTGACATTATGAGCAGAAGAAACACAACAAGCTTTTATACAGATAATTAACTTCTGTCATCTGTCTGTGTGTCTGTCTGTCTGTCTGTCTGTCTGTCTGTCTGTCTGTTGTCAGGGTGGAGCCGGGGCTTGAGACCGCCTTCCTCGGTACTCGTGCCGGCCTGATGAGGATCGTGAGATACGCAGGAGTTGAGACCAGAGTGGCAAAGTAAGACTCACACCAGTCAGTTCAGTTTGTCTCAGAGAGCTCAACATCTGAAAGAAACAAAGACAAGAGGATTATTATTATTATTATTATTATTATTATTATTATTATTCATGCAGGGACTGTCTCTGCTGTCCCTCATTCATTTGGTCCCGCTCACATTTGGAGCCGATCAATACAAACCGTTCACATCTGCTGTGTTTGGTTTGTTAACTTACACACATCACAGGTTGATAACGAGCACCACCAACTTCAGGGCTTGTTTCTGGCCTAATGATATAAATACAAACATCGAGGAACTCCAGTTGGATAAATCAGGAGTTCCCAAACTTTTCCCTGACGAGGTTCTTAGTATCGTATATAGTATATGTTTATTTCCCTCTTTTGTGAAATGTCTTTAAAGCCACATTGACAATATACTGTACAAATGCAACACAAACATCTGAATATATTTCCTTACTTTTATTAATGCAATCATTATTACATTTGTATTTTACATATTTAATAATGACATTAGATTTAATAATAAATGGACACTAACTAGCCAGATGCCAGCAAGTGCTAACTCACAATAATGGGCACATATTTGGACGCGTTATTGAATCTAATGTAAGATTTTAAAGTTTTTTTTTTTAGCTTGCTAGATGCCAGAAAGCTAGTTAAAATACCCCTTTAAAATGCTGGCAAGGTGATGTGATGGATGATGTTTAGACTGACAGGCAATTAGAGAGCTGGACGTGATGAATAAGATTTCCATATGTTATATATTATTATTTACTATATTTATTTATTATCTATAATAATAATACAACACAAAAAGTCAGGATTAGTAATTTATTTTTATTTATTTATTTAGCAGAAAGTAGCAAAATAAGAGTCTAAGACCCCACAGCATCCCCAAAAAGACAAAAATAATTGTCTGCTTGACAAATTCTCATCAAAACTGATTATTTTCCAGCACTTTATGTTTCATGAACTCAAGTTGATGCTCATTGGCTAACAGGAAATAATGCACCTGGCTCCCTATAACTTGTTGTTGTTGAACTTCAACAGACGGTTTCTGACTCCTGTTGATAAAGATAACCTGTACACCATCGATCACTTCCCTCTGTGGTACCGTCTGGCCGTGGAAAACACTCCTGGAAGCTTCTACTACTACCCGGTCAACGACAAAGGTCCGTGCCGTCAGCCTTCCACCTCTCTGTCCTTTTATCTGATGAGACATGTCCCAGATCAGCTGATCCCGAGGTTTATTTTCTCTCCACAGGAGTAAAATACATCATAGCGACGACAGCAGTGACGGTGTCATCTGAAGGAAAGACGGCGATTGCTGGAGGTGAGTCACCGCTGCAGCTCTGATTCAGAACAACATTCAGGCTTTAAAATGTGACTGTGGACCTGATGTGATATTAATCTCGTCTGTGGGAAACTTTGTGGCTGTTTTTTATTATTGATTTTGCTCGTTGATTTACTGAAGACCACAAACTGTATTCTGTAGTAGGTTACAGCTTGTTTGCACCAATCGGTTTGTGGAGTTGCGTTTTAAAGCCTTGAGTTTGGTGTTATGGTCGTCACCATGACAGTTTGTTGGAGCCAGCCGAGGTCACGTACTGCAAGTTGAGCTGCTCTCATTGGCTGCTCTTGGTTTGGAAACAATGGCGACTTGTCTGCTCACACAGGATCTGGTATTAAACAGTAAACAGTAAAATGTGTTTGTGAACAGATTTCAGGAGAGAAATAGTCAACAACAGAATCTGGATCCATATCTGATCAGCACTGTTTGAGTTTAGTGTGTTGAGCTGGACGGACTCACTGAGAATGAGCTGTCAATCACAAGGTAGCCCCGCCCTAAAGCATACCCTGCTTTATGGTCTGTTTTACTCTAAATGGGACCATCAGTTACTAAATGAACATCATGCTGTATGGAAGAAGACTGAAACTAGAGACTGAGACCAGAAACTCATCAGGAAACTGTTCACTGAGCTCATAAATCAACTGAGAAGTCGGCTCATTTCCCCATAAGACTGAATGGTAACTGCCCCCTGCTGGCCGTTATATAGACTGCAGGTTTAAGGCTCTGTACTTTATTTATACTGTCACGTGATTCAGATGAAATTGAGATGGAGGGCAGGAAGTGAAAAGCAGAATGGATGAGATGGAGGATAGTCTGCTAGTTTAAACAATATTGGAGAAAAAGATTCAAACAGAAAATCACAGCATACGTTGGATGTGATTCAAAGTCTTCGGTTCCCCGTCAGATAGCCGTCTGACAGCAAGGTAGATATAGATTGTTTAAAATAGGCTTCGTCTGGCTTCCGTCAGTAGTTTGATGAATGTGGTTTCAAAGAAAAAAAACAATTTAGATAAATATAGAGTTTATTATCTCCGGCATGATTAACAGTCCTTGAGTTGTTTCTTAGACAATGTTTCATGTGCTTATCACAAACAGTTTGGACTAAATTAATAAATAAAACACATGGAAGTTACAGTTAATGTGGGCTGATAGGACACACGCTTTCAGACAGTATCTCGTACTTTGCTATGTTGGGAATAATTGTGTGTTTGAGCTTGTTTGTGCTGGGTTGAAAGCTGCTGTAGCTCAAAGCTTGGCCTCTAGGTGGCAGTACAGCTCTACTATTGTTTGAATGCAGTTTACCTCAGTGATGAAGCTGAAAGCAGCATTTCCCTGACAGCAGCAGGACTCTAACACGGTTTAAAGTGTCTGTTATTTGGAGGGAATTCAACAGGGCTTTCACCTCAACAGAGGTACAAAGAGCTATCTCTCAAAGTCGGGGTGTTAAATATAACATAAAATACACACAACTGATGAAGAAAAAGACAATTTTGTGCAGAAAAAGGAGAAATATCACATTTCACAGATTCACATTTGTACTTTTGGAGCTTGTGCTTGTTGGGCTCGGATCCAAACAGATTGAACAAAAAGGTAGTTTCATATTTCTAAAGAATAAACAAAAACACAGATGAAAGGAAGTCGAGGTGCAGAAGTGCCAAACAGCAGCTTCAGAGGAGTTTAAAAGCTGGCTGAGGGATGCAGCGCAGGGAATAACAATTCACAGAGCATCCATACATTAAAAGAAGTGCTGCAGCATTCCAGTTTCACTGAATCTAGTCCGGTCCATTAGCTGTACAGTCAGTCCCCGCCCAGAGCAGCACAACCACAGAACCGCAGGGTTTTCCTCTCCAGACGTCGTCTCCTCAGTGACGAGATCCGAGGAGCAGAAGCAGCCAGAGCGCCCTGGAAGGATCTAAAACCAGTAAAAAGCGGTGGGTCAGAAGCTGCTGATTCGATACCCGTGCACGATGCCGCAGGTCTCTTTGGGTGGCGAGTCCTTCGGTGAGGTCGGTGTTGACATTTGCCCGTCCTCAAGGTCCGTCTCGCCTCCGGACTCGGCCATCAGAGGCTGGCCTCGGTTCTTCATCTCCCTCTGGTACCGGGCCATCAGCGAGGCGTAGACGCAGCCATAAGTTGCCGCGACCACCATCATGACGCACACTGTGCCACAAATCACGCCCGCAACTATTTGCGTTCCGTGCGCTCGGCGGACACTGACAGGTCGGTAGCGCTGACGAACACATTCGTCGTTGCTGCTGACCCGGCCGGGCGGGCATGGAGGCCGGGTTGCGTAACCTGACGCGCCCTCCTTGGTCGGACTCTGCAGGCAGTAGCTGAACATCTCTGCCGGCACGCTGCGGATGTCCCTGCCCTTCAAATCCCCCGGGAGACTGCACTGCATCGCATCTACCTGCCCATCTATAAAACAGACAGAGGAGCGGGAAGGACAGGGAGGGAAGAGATGAAGTGGAGGAAAAGAGGAAGACAGAAACAGGGAGAGACAGGGGAGGATTGAGAGAGATGGAGGTCATTATATTCTTAGATGTCTTTGCTCAGCATGCATCCATCCTGCATAGCGGAGATTAATTGCTCCGATTAGACAGCTTTTGAAGTACAGACTCAAAATACAAAGTGATTCGCTCCGGTACGGCCTTAAAGCACGGAAAGCCCACTGCCAAAACTATAAACTTCACAGGATTTGAGATCTGGAGAGACCTGCTCACCCCTGTAAATCAACCACTCCATCCAGTGCTTGAAGTCCCTCAGCTTGCAGTCGCACTCCCAGGGATTTCCCGCCAGCTGGAGGTGCTGTAGCCCCAATAGGGGCTCGAAGGTGACTCTGTCAAGGGCCACCAGCCGGTTGCTGGCCAAGGAAAGCCAGGCGAGTCTCGGAAGTGCATCCAGTAGGCCCTTGGGCAGCCACAGGAGGCCATTGGAGGACAGGTCGAGCCTACGCAGGTGCCACAGACCCTTAAAAACCTCCTTGCTCAGCCCAATGCTCCCTTGACTTCCATTCAAGCCCTGGAGGACCTCTGTGGTGTTGTTGGGGTCAGAGGTCACCAGGCGCACCCCGAGGTAGTTAGCAGAGAGGTTGAGCCAGCGCAGGCTGCTCAGGCTTGAGAAAGCTCCAGGCAGCAGGGTGGAAAAGTGGTTTCGGGAAAGATCCAGGAGCTCCAGGCTGCTGAGGTTGGACAGCTCAGTCGTGCCCATGGAGGAGAGGTTGTTCTGGGGTAGGCGGAGGATCAGAGAGTCCTGGTCCAGCAGCGCTAGGATGGGCGTCAGAGAGAGAAGGCCGACAGCAGAGCAGTCAGTGGTGTTACCGTAGCAGGTGCAGACACCAGGACAGCCGTGGACCGAGCCCAGTAGTCCCAGTAGAACCAGCACCAGACTGGACAGGGCTGCACAGACTCAAAGACATGAGAAACAAACAGAACGACATTATTTAAACTTTAAACATTAACCTACTTAATTATTAGACTATAACTTAATCTGTGAACTTGAGCTCCTTTCTGTTCACTGAAGTTTGTCTCATGTAACCCAACCTCTGAATCATGGAGCTCAAAAGTCAGAAAGATACAGAACTGGAAATGTGAATGTGCTGTTTTTGGGAATATCCATGTTGAACATATTTTTGGTAACTCCTTTTTATTCCATGAAGAAAATAACAGAAAGCAAAGCTGAACCTCTTGTCTGCTTCATTTCCACCTGTGGAGTCTATTAATGGAAGCAGATTACAAACTATATAAACTACAGAATATATCCTATCTCTCTCAACGTGGATAAAAGCCTCAGTTAAATGTCTACAGTGTCAAGGATGAAGCGTCCAAACTCACCCAGACTCTCCAGCTGACTTCGTCCATACCGGTCCAGGTTCTTCATTTCTGTCACATTGACTCTGCTCCGGGTTTAAGCTCTCATCCGGCTGTCTTCGCTCTCTGCTAGTTTACACCAACGTCCGGCTGAGGAGAACGTCCTGGAAAATGGAGACAGAAGAAGAGATGTTACTTCAGGAGAGTTATGAAGTTAACAGTAGTCAGTCAGAGTTGGGGTTACTGAGAAACTCAATTTATTTAATGACGTCATACTAAATGCCACGCAACAGATTAATACTCTGCCAAACCACAAAAAAGTAGAGCAACCTCTGGTTACCAGATATATTTCATATTTAAGATCTACAACTAAATCACACATCCTGTTGTACTAATGGCCTACATGTGTCTCTGTACAGTGGCAGCAACTCTAGCTGGGCAGCCAGCGTCAAGCTCACAGATAAGCACTTTGCATTTCCTGTGACGACTACTTCATAATAAAAGTCAACTTGTGTTTCGCCAGTTAAATACTTTTAATGTGAAGCTGCAGCAGTCGGAAATGTATCCGTTTGCTTTAGCAGTAATTTCAGGAGCTGTTCAGATGTTCAGAAAACGTCAGCCGGGCCTTTTATCCTTTTATACTCGGCAATTGAAGAGGTTGTGCCACTGTCACGCCTGTCGTTACTAAGCAACCAAATCTTCAAGGCAAAAGTCAAAACAAAGATACATGGATTACGAGCACCCCTTGCAGTGGCTTTACTGCTCCATTTCTGAAGAGTCTTCAGTTTGTGACCTTTAAGCAGGATGTTGTTACGTCCTTTTCCACAAGTGCTGTGGAGGCGATTGGTTAATTCTTGTCACATGACCTATGGTGAGGTTTCTTCATCTTGTTGCGCCATGGACTCGATTCAAAATAGTGTGTTTGCGTTTGCAAAAGATGTAACATCTGAACAGCCTCTCTGAAAGTTACATATGCACATTGCAACTAACTGAACACTGCTTGCGTCTGTATTTGATGACCTTGGAGTGAGTATGGGCTGTGAAGTGGGAAGTAGAAGCTACAGTGGCCGGGAAACTTGCAAAAACCATGAAAAGCCCTTATCTAGAATCAGTGTTTGGTATGTCCGTTCTGGGTTACTGTAGAAACATGGCTGTTCAACATGGCGGCCTCCATTGAAGGAGACCTGTCTGTATATAAAAACATCTCGATCTAAGGTAACAAAACCCAACAATTGTTATTTTCCGGTGATTAAACACTAATGAAAACATAACTTAATATTAAATTTATAATAGATAGATCCTCCTCAATGTTACACACTGAACCTTTACTGACTCTGACTCCTCTTCACTACTGTACGATAACGGATAATCCCTTTTGTGAGCTGTGTTTTAGATTTACTTTGCTCTCTTTCAGCTGTCACGCTGGCTTGACTTTGATTCATCTCGGTGTTAACAAATGAAAGATTTACTCGTTCACACTCGCTTTGCACTTCACATCTGCTCCGGGGATTCAAATTGACGATTTTCCTCTCAGGAGCCTGTCTCTCAAACCTCTCAGCCGCCATGAAGAGTGCAACTCGATGTGGAAGATTAAGTGTTAGTGTTTCGTGTGTGCTGATTAAAAAACATCAACAGCTTAGTCTCTGGCAGAGCTGATCTACAGTATATTGGCATTACAGGCCGGAGTTGCACCGTAATTCACAGCGTTTCGTCCTCAATCCTTTTCATTCTCTGCCTCGCTTGGGGAGAACACACAAGGAGCTTCATTATGAAATGAAATAATCCTCAGTGTTTCCATCCAGCAACACCAACACCGGAGGAAAAGTCGATGCCAACTTCTATCTCCTGAACACCCACTCCTGTACGCCGCAGATACAGTACAGCGTCAGCATTGTTTCACACATACAATCAAGAAAAATGTTTTGTATTTTTTGATGATTCGTTAGTTTTTAATTCACTCGTTGATATCTCTGGCAGTTTGGGGCACTCAGATATGTAGGGAGGGAGGTGGGGGGGAGTATGCACGAGAGATAAAGCTGCAAAAGTGCTGTCACTCCATCATCCGTCTGTGGCTGCTATATAGAGCCAGAGAAACACTGCCTCAAGGTCTTTCTTTTGTTGCAGGTCTTTCTTTTGTTAAGTTGGCACAAAGATGCCAGTCACTTTGCTGCGGACCGCGTGAGGCGGGAAGGTGCCTCCAGGCCACAACTGACATTACACAACAGGAGAAATTACAATACGGGTAGAGGAGGGAGATAATGGGAGGACATGTGAAGAGACGCAAATGTGGCTCCCATAGAATATCTGACGTCACTTCACATCATCCAGAGGCTGAATAGAAATAGAAGTGCAAAGTCAGAGCATTAGCTCCCAGATGATAATCACAAGTAAATCCTCTGCATATGTAAGGAGGATAATGTAGAGCAAGTACTGATGCTCCGGGTATCTGCAGGTTTTTCTCAGCACAAAGAGTTTTAACGCTTAAAAAGATCTTTACGTTCTCTGAATCGACCTCTTCAATTGCGGTCATGTAAATAATGACTCTTCTCAAAGAGACTAAAGCCTCTCTCTTATATTCTTTAAAGAGAAAATATAAGATGCACCAAACAAATCTGTGTGCCGAATGATCATAAATTGGAAGCATGTCGCCTCCCAAACGCACTATAAGGGCAGTTTTTGTGCCTTGTGCAAATACCCGTGGGCACATGGGCAAAAACTGGAGACATGCCACCAAAAAAAGACTGTAAGAGGAATTTCAGAAGCAGTTATGGAAATCACCACTGTGATGAAAAAAAAAGATTCTGTAAGTCGTCATAATGAGAAAGGGTTGAGTTAGGGGAAAATCGATTTGAAATTGCCTCAGCGAGTCTAAAATGTACTTCAACTTTATGATTCCACCTTAAAAACATGCAGACAAAAGGAAAAAGGAGTGAGATCAGTCAGAGCCTGACCTGCAAACGTAAACAATTATAGCAACAATGGTCAGAAAATGCTCCTATAAGTCAGCATCAGACTGTTATATGTGTTGGTTCCGTGGGCGCCGACACCAACCTGTGTTGTCCTTGAAGAACGAGAACTTGTTGGCTGGTTTCAGGTCCAGTACGGGTGCAGCGTTACAATAACATGCTCTGTAACTCAGATCCGACGTTGAGTGACAGCTGTCACATTAGGTCTACTACAGCAGCGTGTAAGAGGATGAGCGTGGACTAGAGTTTCTTATGGAAAAGATGACCTCCGACCACTCTCGCTGTCTGATGGTTGTAACAACAGATGGACACTGAATCCTGAAACAGGAGGACGGATTTACAGGAAAAACACGATCTCTGCTTACATAAATCCCACAGACGGAGCGGAATAATAAAAAGTCCACTGTGACAACTTCCTTTAGAGACTTTTACTTTGGGAGTACAATATCGTACGCCTTCAAAACACTCCACACACCCACCGCTGCACGCACTCATGTATAGCTGCGAGGCCGAGGACCAAAACAAACGTAGGGGTTGGTATGTCATCTTCTGTTTATCAAGAGCTGAAGTTGCTCCTGGCTGCCTTTCTGCTGTTCACCATCTCTCTCCTCATTGATTCGTCTCTTTGAGCGTGCCCTCCTCGCTGCACTACTTGGCGTCTCTTTCTTTGGACTCGTGACTTTTAAGAACACCGCAGAGAGCGTAGAGGCTGCCGGGTGTAGGTCGAGGACGTCACATTCACCTAAACTCAAACTTTACTCGGCAGGTTTATCAGTAAAATACAGTCCACCAATATTCCCAGGCCGAGGGAAATCAGGGTGATTTCAATACATCATACTGTATTGTGCATTTTATTTGAGGGCGTAGCTGATGCTTTTATTTAGAATAACTTATAAAATCTCCCATCAACCTCAGCTGTACTTTGTGTTTACTGCTAATTAGCAAATGTTAGTTTGGCAGCATGTCATAAACTAAGATGCAGAAACATAGATACCTCAATGGCCGCCGCTTTGTATCAGAAAATACTTCCACAGTTACAGAAATTGAAGAGAAAAATGTCCTCAGTTTCTTGGTGTTTATGGAGATTTTGGAAGCAAACAGACATTGAGGCAGCTTGTCAAAAGCGCCATCAACCAGATTAGACCACCGCCCACACAGCAGCAGCAACGGGTCACAGATTAAAACTATAGTTTCAATCCCTGAGTGGGACAGATGCCTGTTTGGGAGTCCAGATGTTGGACCAATTGGACCAGTAAAAACCCCCTCGAGCCTCCGACGCGCTCGCTCTCCATTTTTAATGTTGCGTCGTCATCGCACATCTGCTGCTGCGACTTTCTTTTAAAGCACTTTGACGAGTCCTGTAGTAAATACACAGTACAGGCTTCATATGTCAGCTGATAACCTCTTAACCACTGAGGCTACTCATGACGAGGAACAGATATGAGAGCAAGGCGGTATTTCTGGCAGGCTTTTTGTCACGCTCGATGGCTGCAAAACCCACACGAGATGTTCTGCGGCAGATCTTTTATGTCTTCTGCTGGAAGTCGTTCGAGCGTCTATAGGTCGAGCTCTTTTGTTGGCTCGTACTGGTGTTCGTGCTTACATTGCCTTTATACAAATTTAAGGTGTAGTTCAGTTAGCATGACTGACGACATGTCTGGTCACTGGATATTTTATAGGAATAGGAGGGTGTATTTGAATAATCGGAATTTTAGGCCTTTTAAAATGTCATAAATGTGATTTTGAAAGGTTTTTTATTGGATTAATTAATTGTATAAAGTAAGTTTATGTCCAGTTTAATTTATAATGGTTTTTAAAGTCTTATATTTAACCTGTTAAAACCTATAGATATCAGACTCCTGGATGGCAGTGAATGGGAAACCCCCATAAAGTTTATTATATTTTCTTTTCCTTAAATAATTCAGACTCTCAGCAGCTAATTTTACTGCTCCTCTAACTGACGACGATGGCAGCAATCAGTAACTCCAACCCCAAAGCATCCCCTCAAAGAAATGCTAGCGATCTGCTTTTTATAACCTTTTTCATGGCTTTCCAGACCGTCGGGGGATTTAATGTTTGAGGGTTGACATTGTGTTACAAAAACTGTCAAAACAGCCACTTTCGTACGTGGAGAAGTGGTGGCTTATTATCTCGATTTAAAACTCCGCTGTTTGGATTTTGTCATTGAAGTCCTGCCGATGTGATGTTCCCTGCTTCATCTGCAGTGCATCGCTCCAGTTTTCTGGGCTCTAACGTGGCGTCCCACTGGCTGCTTAATGGCCTCTGACAGGCAGCCCCCCCCCCCGGCTGCACTTTTCCTCCAAACAGCCTGAGAACGAGGCAGCTGAGCGCTTGGTCCAAAAGGCCGAGAGCACAAACACACTGCAGCATCCACACTGAGGCGGGATGAGCGAGGAAACCACAGAGAGCAAGTAAACACTGAACGCCAGAACGCACACACACAAGCTCACTCCTACATGCTTTTAGACTCTATTAAAAGCACAGATATGCACTTATGCACAACATGGCCAAAAGTATGTGGACAGCTAAAGATTCCACCTATACGAGTGTGTTTGAATGTTTTATTCCAAAACCACCAGCATCCACTCCTCTGGTTTAAGGATGTCCACCACGCTGCAGGGAAGTCGTTTTTGGGAACAGTTTGGAAAAGGGAAGGCAGATGATTGGATGAACCGTAGAAACATGGCGGCACAGGCGAACGTCAACCAATCAGATAAACGAACTATATAACCTAGTCAACCACAAGAAGTCAAAAGAAGAGAAAAACCTTCAGTGCCGCTCTTTGTTAAGTAAAGAAAGACTCTCCAGTTCTGGTATAACTGATGCTAGCAGCACCCACGCTAACCTCTTTAGCAGCCACCATTGTTGTTTAACGAAGAGCATCTTGTCACTGCGTCACACCTAGCGCCCTCTCCCTGTAGCTGCCAGCACTTCCTCAAAGGACGCTGATTGGTCCGCTACAAGTGTGGCCACAAAAGAAAGAAAGATAGATTCATGCGTGATCTCACGAGTCCGGCTGCCATCACTGACGTTGGTTGATCAGGTCTGACTCACAGTTGGTGTTCCAGTTAAGGTCCGGACAAACCAAAACAACGTCTAAGAACGAGCAGGGACAAAAACTGTTGCCTGCATGTTGGCCGAACAGCGAACGACCAACAAGTTATAATAACTCTCCATACCAGCAGGTGGCGGTAGTCTGCATTCGTCTTTCAAAGAAGAAAACCAGAAGACTTGCAGATATACACAAAAGGCCTATGGATGTACGTTTGCAACTGCTTCCAATCGAGAAATATTTGCGTATTTGAGTGATCAGAAGACCTGAAGGTAAAGAATTAACAAAGTCAAGCTCACCTACTGTTCTCGTGAGCTTAACAGCCAATCAGCTGCCACTGATTCAACGTGCTCATTGTGCTGGGAAACCAGAGCTGAAGACACTGTGTGGTATTACAGCCATTGTCAACGGTACAATCTTTCATCTCAGTAGCTGCTTGTACTGATGAGCTGCACTCTCCCTCCTCCCGCCTCCATAACTGTCGATTCTCAGTGAGTAAAGCCACCAGTTAGTTAACATATCCGGCTGAAAGTGGCCAGTTAACAGGGTCACTCGTTAACCCCAAACACTGGCGGGTCACGGGACGCAAATGTCACAACTGTGGAAAATTATTGAGATAATTAGCAGACCAGTTGTAATTTTCTACCACAAGATGACTGCAAATGTTTCCAGAGCGAGTGAGACTGTGTGACCTTCTACTGTAAGTTGCTGTAATTCTGGAGGGATGCTGCGTAAAGTCTCTTCAGCTTTCTCGTCTTAAAACACTGAACGTGACGAGATGATGTATTTCGTTGTTGTTATTATCGTAACGACGAGCCCAGAAGTGTTGGATGAGGTTGAGATCAGGGCCGGTCAGATTCTTCCACAACAAACTGGGAAAACAACTTCCTTTATGGAGCTTTGTGCCATTGTCATGAAACAGGAAACTGTTCTGTAGCATCTTAAATACAACAATTAGTGGATTGACAGAAAAGTAACTTTTGATCATTTTAAAGTAATTTTTAAAGCAACTTTTCAACTATAGTTCAGACAAAACGAGAGATTTTACGTCATCTTGTTCTCGAGGAAACAGGGATGAACATTTTATAAACAAAACCAATAATCGTGACAATAACCAGAATTGATTTATAATGAAAGTAGTTGCAGTACACTGAAGCATTAAGATTTCCTTTAGAGGCCCGAATGGGTAAAGAAACATGTATGTGCACAGGAGTGTCCACTTACTTCTGGCCATATAGTGTGTACACACAAACAGACACACACACCACACACACACACACACACCGCTCACCATCTGCTCTGCTGCTTTAAGCCTCCAAACAGAGAAAGAAGACAGAAACTCTTCTCCTTCATCTGCAGCGTTCACAAAAAGAAGCTGAAGAAAAAAAAAAAAACAACAACCTAAAAACCAGAATCTGGATTCGTCCCAGAAACCGAATTCTGGTCTTCGAGGGGAACCGGTCTCGACTTAAAACGCCAGGAGCTCGAATTCCCTCGTAGAGTTTTATTCCGGATCAAACACCGCTCGTCATCCTCCTCTTCCTCCTCTTCATCCACATTGCTGCTCACTGATCGTCTCAGAGCTCCGTCCAACACACACACAGCCCGCTGACTGAGGACGAGCGAGCTTCTGTGTGTGCTTTAGAGAGAGAGAGAGAGAGAGAGAGAGAGAGAGAGCTAGAGAAGCCACATGCTGCTGCTAATGGTGTGTCCTGTGTGTGTGTGTGTGTGTGTGTGTGTGTGTGTGTGTGTGTATGTATAAAGTGCATTAAAGCAGTTTGACAGAAATAGTAACAGCATAGTGTGTTGCAGCTGCAGGCTGAGCGTTGAATGAATGAAGATGGAGAGAGAGAGAGAGAGAGAGATACCCTTTGTATGAGAGAGAGAGAGGCAGTAATGGGCTGTATAGTATTTCTTTGCAGCAGCAACACACACACACACACACACACACACACACACACCTCAATTTGAGTATAAAAAAATGACTGTATGAGACATTTTGTGCCCCTCACTGCACGCAGGAAGTTAGGGTGGGGGCTGCGTGTGTGTGACTCCGCCTCCAGCAGAAAATACCCCAAAGTACCCTCACCATGTTTGCTGCCACCCTGTGGTATAACTGCACCACTGCAGCTTCCAGAGATGTTTCAATCTAAACCGAGTATCAAATATAACGAGTCATTACCCCTATCGTGGCGTCACCCAATGACGTCGCCATGTTAGTTTTTGTGGTTGCCCTCAGTTTCGACTCGTCCGTATCAGGAAACAATGGCGGCTCTCCTGCTCACACAGGATCTGGTATTAAACAGAAAACAGTGAAATGTGTTTGTGAACAGATTTGAGGAGAGAAACAGTCAACGACAGAATCTGGATCCATATCTGATCAGCACTGTTTGACACTTTGATCTGAGTTTGGTGCGTTGAGCTGGACGGACTCACTGAGAATGAGCTGTCAATCACAAGGTAGCCCCGCCCTAAAGCATACCCTGCTTTATGGTCTGTTTTACTCTAAATGGGACCATCAGTTACTAAATGAACATCATGCTGTATGGAAGAAGACTGAAACTAGAGACTGAGACCAGAAACTCATCAGGAAACTGTTTACTGAGCTCATAAATCAACTTCACCATAAGACTCAATACTATCAGACTTGTTTTTAGCCCGCTGCTGGCTGTTAGACAGAATGCAGGTTTAGCTTTAAGTCCAAATCATAAAGGTAAGGTAAGGTGTGTAGGCCCACTGTTGTTTCTCCTACACACTGGTCCTTTAATTCCACTCCGGCACTGTGTTACAGTATATTGCAAAGTAACGTCACCCAGTCTAATAATGTGGCTGCTCCGGCCAACTGGCACTGTCTTTCATCCTGAATCCAAGGAAACGAGATGAAAGTAGAAACCAGATTTTATTCCGAAGCACAATATGTGACTGAGGGACAAACAGAACGTCCCTAAATAACCTGCAACCATCACTATTATTGACTTGATTTTACCTTTCATGCTGCTCTCACTTTAACTGTCTGTATATTCATCCATTACCTGAATGTCTCTCTGTAAATGGACTGTCTCATTTACTAATGTAAGCATTTCCCCTATTAGAAATAATTGTATTGATTTTGATTCTTTTTTAGATGTTTTTCGTTGCAGTAGAGTCTACAGAAGTTAATTAAACTGTGTGAGACAGAGAGATCATTCAATTTAATGACCTTTTTTTTGGCATTAGTTAACAAACAGCATTGCTATTATATAATATAGTTAAACAGAATATCAGCTCCTTTGCAGTGATGACTAACACTTGTGAGATATTCAATTAATTTAAGAGTTATAATTCTGATTTGTGGATTAATAATGTAGATTTAATGACACTGAAGTCATATTACCAGAGCTTTGGAGCTGCTGCAGGCTACATTAGCCACACTTGGTAAAGCAGGTGACCCAGTGGGTTTTAAGAGGTTTTATACATCCAAAGAACTTCTATAAAATCCAGATTAGGCTTTTAATTGAGACACCAGGCCAGTAAAGGAGACTTGTGTCTTTTTTAGTGTAATTTTGAACTTTGGTTTCCCGTTGCTTCCAGTCTTTATGCTAAGCTAGGCTAACCACATCCCGACTACAGCTCCGTACTTAACACACAGACATGAGATTGTTGTTGTTATTATTATTATTATTATTATTTTTCATACAGTTTCATAGCTGTGAAGAATCTTGTACTTTTGAACCCATTGTGTGTTTTTTGTTTGCTCACTTTTTATTACCAGAAGCACCTTGAGTCCTGTAAACTCTGGTGTTCTCACAGCAAGACATTAAACTACTTTCAGATTCATTAGGACATTTTCTCTGTATACATTTTTAAAAACCTAAGAATGAGCGTTGTTTAATCACCGTTAAAAACACAACTGGCAGATCATCAGACTAACAGCTTTGTTTCTAACGAGATAAAACTGGATCAGATGAAAATGTATTAATCACTGTGGTGAAATTGGCCGTAGCGGCGGCCAGAAACAGCATCTGCAGTCAGTAGAGACAGTGAGAAGTATGAAAATCCAACAGGAGCACATGTTGGGTGGAAATAAAAATATGAATCAGCAACCTGTGAAGGCACATAGAGAAACAGTGCTGGTAGAAAATTGCACCATAAAATTTTAATGTTTTGCAGATTTTATTTCAACACACACTCGGATGAAAAGTTGGTCGATAGCGAAAACACCAGAGAATAAAGAATAATAATGCAGCTGCAGATTCTCTCATTGTCTCCAGTGAAGTCCACAGACAGACACCTGAGTTATTGATGCTGGGTTGAAAAGTAGGATAAATGTCTCGGGTGTGTTTGGTCCTGTGACTCGTCCTCGTCCAGACTGCAGACTGCAGCAGAAACCGTGCAGCTGCAGCGCTGAAGGGCGGCGATAAGGACGCTGCTGACAGGAAAGGAGGAAAAGAAATTTTAAAAAAAGAGAGAGAGAGAGAGAAATGAAATCAAACAGTGGTGCAAAGCCGCAGACCACTGAGTCTGCAGAGAGGCTATTTTAAAAAGAATGAAGGAGAGCGATGCCTTAAGAGGTTTAAAGGACTCAGAGGTCACAACTCTGAACACAAAATGCAGTGTCACATTTTACTACGACCCTCCGGCTTTGCACTGAGCTTGTCCCAGTTCAAAACTCTTAAATGGCTCTTTACCGTGCAAACAGGGATTTCTCTCCATCCTCAGCATGAAGGGCAACACGTATTATTACACAGCAGGTTGAACTCTTCATGGATTAACAAGAGGGACAAGACGAGACCTTTTTATCAGTCTGTACTGAATCAAAACAAACTACAGATTTCTGAATACATTCAGCATAAATACCGCAGTCCACATATCTACATTGTTCTTTTAAGGTTATATGTGCAAAATTAAATTAACAGCTCCTTGCGGTCCACCAGACTCCATTGATAAAACTGGTAATTTTACCTCACAGTTAAAACTCACTTTAATCTGGACAGAAACAAGATAAAACTCACAAAAAAAATTCTTTATTAGTCTTTCCACAAACGCTTGGTCAAAATAAATAATTCATTACTGACGTAGATGAGCAAATGAAATGGGCAATGTAGCTATCTTTGGGGACAAATGACGCATTAAAAGTATGTAAAAGTAGTTTCTGCCACTGACAGACTCAGGTTGTTATTGTCAGTGTCTGACAGCATTATGGAAAGGATCCCTACAGAGATAGACCTTTAGTTTAACCACAAACAGCCGTAATATCACTATCACTCTCCACCAGACTCCAGAGACAAAAACACTCATTTTACATGTCGTAATATTGTAACTTCATTCAAAGTGGACAGAAACATTTAAATCTCTACGTTTTAACAGCAGTAATGATTGTGAATCAGAACAAGCAGCAAGGAGACATTTAGTTCCTTTATTCCAACACAGTGTAACATCACACAGTCTGGTTGTTCATCACACAGATTAAATAACTTCCAACTTCACTGAAACTAATCCTGGTGGACTGATCTTTATGATGGATGATGGATAACGTTAACAGTTACTGACTAATTAACTGGTTTCATTCCTCTCCTGTCGCTGCCTGAACCCACCATGTCTTCATCCCCAGAGTCAGAGTCCTGGTCGGAGCCGCTGGGAATGCCCACTCGCCCGGCTCCGGTTCTGATGCTAATTCTCCTATGTTAGCTCTTATGATAGTAGTGTAAACAATCCTCCTCCTGTCCTTCGAGCTCTCAGTCTGGGGTAGATATTGTGTTACAAGAGAAAAGGTCCGTGTTGCAACAATCCGCTGATACTTTAGTCTTGTTCTTTCTGCGACTATCCGACTGAAAAGTGCGCTGACTGAGACTCTTCTCACCGATTAGCGGTTAGGTCGACTATTAGATTGCAGACCTACTTACAATGACAGTAAGAAGTTGATCAGTTGTTGTTTTTTCTGTGCAGCAACCTCCGAGGAGAATCTGCAGTCTGTGAAAAGCTCAATAACAAGAAGCTCAATAGCCAGAAACAACCAGAAATAAAAGGTTTCACAGCTGCTCTGCTTTTCCAATAATACCAGTACACAAGAGGCTCGATGTGTCGCCTCGTATCACTCATCTGTGTGTGTGTGAGGCTGCAGTCCAGCTCTCTGTGTGAAGAAGAGTTTTCATTATTGAAGTGACAAAAACAGTTGCAGTTATTATGTTGGTGCGAGTGGAAACGACCCCCGTCGGTCCTCTAACGCTGCCAAGGCCGCTGGATCAGACCCGACGTTTGTGTCTCAGCAGGCAGACGCTGCTTTTCATTTTCTCCGGCTGTGACTTCTGTGTGCCAACAATGTGCTGATCGGTTGGCAGCACGACCAGAATACAGTCCGACCGTAAAGGGAGGCTTGAGGTTTGAGGTTGATGTTAAATGTATTTTTTACAGCTGAAAGGTTGTCAGTGCTCTCTGAGAACAAATCTTTTAAAGGAGAGTCTGTTCCTGTGTTTCTTTATACTCATACTCTGATAACTGTGGTGGCAAAAGTACACTCATTCTTTACTCAAGTAGAAGTAGAAGAACTGATTGTTTACTCGAGTAAAAGTAAAAAAGTACTCTCTTGGTCTCTCTGAAGGACGTTTTTACCGGCAGTTTCTGTTCAAACTTAACTGAAACTTCAAACATGGTCGAGTCTCCCTCTCGTCATTTTCATCATGTTGTGTCTGTAATGTTTGATCTGCACCGGTCTGAGTGTTGGAAGAAAGTAAAATGTTGGGGAAAGTAAACTTAAGTAAAGTGCCGATACCTGAAAAAACGACTTCACCTGGGGCTGATAGTGACATTAATGTAATTAACGAAGGTCAACGGTGCATCGTTTGACAGGTTTGGCTAATTCTTGTTGCCTTCGTTGGTTTGAGTTGGTTCAGAGGGAGAAAATCTGTGTTAGCCAATCAGAGTCAGAGTAGGGCGGGTCATTGTTAAAATGAATGTACATCATCAGTGCGAGTAAAATCCGTTATATCTTTCTAACAAAACTCTGTTTGGATGCTAATTATAGAAAAACAGACACAACCTGTAAACCCGACATAAAAATATAGATTGTTAATGATATGCTAAGTCACTAAGTTATCACAAAGTTTTGACTATAGATTGTAACTTTCTATAATAAATGAATGCTTTGGAAACATTGTCTTTGTGCCAATAAAGTATATTGAATATAACTGGTAATAAGCCAGGTGTGCTAACATTAGTATTGTATATTAAAGCCGTTAAATGTAATGTTTATTCCATTCCTTACACTTCAGCTCTTCTTTATTTTTTGGTTTTGGAAACATGATATAAAACACCTCCCTTCCCCGAATGGACGGCTCTGAAGACAAAAGGTCGTCGTTCGGTGCCGGGGTTAGTTAGATGGTTGTGAGTTTAAACACATTGTTTGACGCCTCCGGCACACAACTGCTCACCTTACTTCCTAAATGCTTGCTGTGCACTTCACTTCAGAGTAATAAAGCTGCATTGGAGGGACTGAGGGTGTCATTACGAGTCTGCAGGGAGCGCACACACCATCAGGCTCATCAGTGTTTACATCCCTTCATTAGCGGAGGGACACGACAGAGGTGAACCCAGGGTCGAATTGATTTCCTGTCCCTTTCTCCACAAACACGGCAAACTGTTCGTCTCTGCAGAGTCCATCTTGTCCTGTGTCTGTCTTTAATACGTGCATATGTGTGTGTGTGTGTGTGTGTTTTTTCTATTTTTAGCTATCGGGCTGCAGTTGTCCTTGGATTGGCTGGAAAAGAGGTTCTGGGCCATCGCCAAGCAGGTGACCGGAGGACGCACTCTCACACATGTTGACTGATGTCATTTTTGGGGACATTTTATTGACTTTTGGTTTAATTTCTCAGACTTTAACCATCACTGATTGATAACAAAGAGCAAAAAGGGGCGGGGCTTAGAAAGGGTCAACTGAGCTGGGACGTTATTTCTGATGTTCTCACTGTTTCCTGCCAGGTTTTGTCCCCAAAGTTCAGCTCAATTAAACTTAACAAACGTCACGGCGAATGAATGAAGGACGAGTTAATTCTGTGAATCTCTGAATTCTCAGAGTTACATAAACTTTCTGAAACTATTCTCTGTGGCGGGTTTGGTGTGAAACCCCCGACTGTGCTGACCTTTGAGAGAGTCCAGAACGAGGCAGGCGATCACATTAGCACATTGCTCCCTGTTCTGTGGGAGTATAAAGAGACGCAGCTATCACACTGCAGTAGTTCATATTAACTGCAACACAAAGTTTCCAAGGACGAACAAAAGAATTTCGCTGTGACCATCCCATAATTATCTTCTAGATTCAGAGGTCATTTTTTTTAATCTTCCTTTTCCTTCATTAGGGACCACAGCCCATTAATTGTATTCATTAAGTCTCTCAGACTTTAAGATTAAAGTGGAATCACCCAGAATAAAGTCCCAATAAGATGTGAAACAATCACATTTGACCCTTCTCAAGAGTTTACATTATTTAAATTAAAGGAAGGCTGAGACATTAAATCAAAAGGTTTAAACGCACAATCAACGATCTAATGCTGCATAAATATAAAAAAATCGAATCCCAATGGTACCTGTGCTAATACAAACATGCTCTATTCAACTCATTTGTGCGTCTTTGCAAAATAGTTTGTTGATGTGGCGACTGCTCGAGGTAGCGAGTGGATCTCTTTAATGAGAGGCTTCCTTCAAAGGTCGGCGCTGTCGTGATGGTTCGACGCAGGTCAAAGGTCATCAACAGTGAACTTTGAATTGACAGCCGATCCTCTGATTGATGAAAGTTGAGTCTGATATGTCCTAAAATGACCACCGTATAAAAGCTTTAGGTTCACGTCACAGACTTTATAAAATATGGACATAGTTTCTGAAGAGTCAAATTCATTCATTTAATTTTATTCTTATAACGCTGATGTTTGTTCGAGGAGTTATAATGAGTTATTTTAGGCTGTAGAAAGTGGGTTTCACCTTATGATTGAAAGCTGAGCCCCGCTCGCGTATGGGCGGGACCTCGATACCGCGTTCAGTACTGCAAGGAAGTGGAGACGCAGCGTTCATCTTTTATATGACGACAGAATGTCACTCAAAGTAACCACGCCTTTAATTATTATATTTAATTATATAATTTAAACAGAGACCAAAAGGCTGTAAACATGTTTATTTCTGCTGTAATTTGGGGGCTTATGATGCCTGACTTACTGCTGGAGCCTCTAGTGGCTGTTAGAGGAACTGCAGGTTGCTGCTCGGCTCCAACTCAGGACAACCTTTGGTAATTGTAAGGATGTAATACTTAAAAATGTCCAACAGTTTTATTTTCTGCACCGAGCATCACGACCTAGTTTGTCCCCAGACTTTCTGAATTAATCGTGTTAAAGAATGTGTCCCCGGATACGACACGAGGCCGACAGCCTCCACTCTCTCTCTCTCTCTCTACAGGTCTTTGACCTTGTGAGTCTCTCCTGCGGTTCAGTGGAGCAGAGCTGCAGCTGAATGTGTGCAGATGTCCTGTAGAGGTTGATGGTGCAGATAACATTATTAATGGGAGCTGACAGCTGTGACAGGCTGCTTTAATATATTCACTGCTGATATTAGATCATCCACAGGCCACATTTACATCCTGCCGCCTCTGATTTACACTTCCTGAGGTTTTTATAACGTTTCTGCCATTCGGTGAAAACTAGGAGTCAGTCTGTGTGTTTAATCTCACATTTACAGTCTGCTCTGTCCAGTTCTGTCTCTGTGCTGAATAGTAGATTCATCAGTCCCTAAAGGAAGTTGTGATCACAACAAATAGCCACGAGTTTCAACTAATCGTAGCAGTTGATCTGTCACCAAACTACTAAAAGACATTCTCACTTGCCTTCAGTTCTTAAAGGACCAGTGTGCAGCATTTAGTGGCCTCTAGTGGTGAAGTTGCAGATTGCAAGAATCTGAATACAGCTCAGCCCTTCAAGCATGGAGGAGAAACTACAGTGGCCACAAACTGCACAGTGCATCAGAATATTGTCAAAATCACAATACGGTGGAGTGAAATTATTGTTTGATAAAGGTTAAATGTGTGAGAATTAGCATTATAATAGATAAAGTATTGTAGTGCTGGCTGACAAATCTTGTTCTCTAGTTTGTTTTTGGTACAGACCCCAAAAAATATCACAATTTCAAGTTTTTCAGTAAAATAAATTTATTTGTAATGCAAAAATTATCCTTATCATGCATTTTTTTAGTAAAAGCTGCCATGAAATCAGGAATTTTAGGCAAAAATCTCAAAAACAAATCCTGATTCATCATCAATATTTGTGGCCCGTTGAGGAAAGAACTGCTTAAAAGCTGAAGATCTCTGTGACCATTTAAACCAACTTAAATCTTTAAAGGTCAGTGAAGCTCTGAGCCGTGACTGTAAAAGTATTACTTACTTACTTACTGAAAAGTAAATACTGTAAGTATTTTTGAAATTAGACTACAAATACAGTGAAAATATATTTGGCTGAACAGAACAGTAAATACATTTTATATCGTTGTTAGGATGTTATATAATATATTTCTATCAGGTTATTGATTCTCATACAATTATCTTTACTGTGTTTATTTTCCTCGACTCTCCACGCTTCCAGCCGAGCGACACCGACGTAAGTAAACATGGATTATTATCCCAATAAAACAATAATGTTTAAATTGAGATAAAAGTGTTTATTAAGTTTATACAATCAGGCGAGGTTCAGCTTCCTCCTGTGTGCAGTGACCCGGCTCCTGATGACCTTTGACCTCCCCTCTCTCTTTCTCTCAGTGTTCAACCGTGGAAGGCGTGTGTCCTCTCAGCTGTGAGAGTGCCGTAAGTATCCCGCCATCTCAACGCCAAACGTCACGTTGAAAAGCCTGAAAACTCACACTTCCTCCTTCTCCTCCCCGTTCAGGATCTGAACTGCTTCCTGGTCGACAACAACGGCTTCATCCTGCTGTCCAAAGAGAGGAACGAGGTAAGATTCCCCCCTACCCCCCAACCTCGCCAGACTCCAGTCTGAGCAGGAAAACATGAGAAAAAGCTCATTTATAAGCTCCTTTAAGTCTCGGGTTAATTAAACGGGAGCACTTTGGCTGACCTGGAGTCAGGAAGGTGATGAGTTCTGGCGTCAGAGGCAGCAGGTGACGTTTCAGCAGCTCTTTTATTCAATGTGCTCATCAACAACATCTGGATGGCTCACAGGATTTGAGGATAGTTTTAATCTGTGTGTGTGTGTGTGTGTGGTGCATTAACAGCGAACTGTAGCAGCTGCTGCACCTGTCGACCTCATCTGACCATGGGCGGATCTTAAACAGTCCCTTAAATTGACTAAAAGATGTGTTTGGGTTTTTTTTTTCCTGTGTTTAATTACACATGAATGTCACATTTAATCTGAACCACCAGAACTAGTTGAATCCTTAAAGTCTCCATGAAGTCAGAATTTATGTTTTAGTGTTTTTATGGAATATGTCTCCTAATCTCCAGCTTCTGTCCAACAGGGACAAAAAGTCATATTTCAGGTGTTTTTAATGGGATTTTAGAGTTTGTCATTTCCTAAAAAAAGAGACTCATTCTGCACTCAGGCGCCGCCGGAGCGAGTGTTTGAGTTACTGATGTGTTACAGACGTCTCTGATTACTGATTACTGAACAAAAGCAACAACTTTCTAACTCCGGCTGCTCAGCTTTAACTCTCTGTGATTCACAGAGTTTCCTTATTTTTATGGTACAACACAAAAAATTGAAATTCATTAATTGTTATAACAAAAATATTCACAGCAAGCCAGTTATATTTGCAACTAAAGATCATTTTTATTATCGATTAATCCTTAAGGTATAATAATCAGAGTCTTGTGTTGTCCCTCCAACAGTAAAATAATATAAATTTACCTCAAAATGTTCTTATTTAATGTCTCAATTATGATTATTATAATAATGAGTGTTATCTCATAATGTTCACTAAATATTTTATAATTTTGACTTTTAGAAATTAATGTAAAAACATTTAAATTATATAACTTTGTCTGACTATAATTAAGTCACAATGTATTTATTTTCTCACAGTTTTTACTGAATATTTGTCCCTGCCGGGCCTCCGTACGCCGCAGATATGGTTTTTAAAGAGTCGCTGTGCAGCTTGTGAGCCTGCAGTCTGTCTGACAGCTGCTGGTTAGCTGCAGATTAACTCGGCCTGTTTGGATCCATATTACTGAGGATTAATCCAGAGCCCATCATGCGACCGTAAACACACACAGCTGAGCAGCCACACCTCATCTCCTCCTCTACCCACGTGTTTACGTCTGTCCCGGCTCTCTGGTTCAGGACTTGTTGCCGGCAGTCGGACCTGTGATGTTTGTGTTACAGGACGGCCTTGGTGACCGCGAGGGCTGCCAGCTGTGCAGCAGCAGCTGGCTCTGCTGAGGACAGATGAGGTTTAACTGTGACTGTGTCTGTCGGGGTCAAATGGACGTACAGCTGGATGTAAACTGTGGAATTATCTCTTATATAATAATGTGTCTGTCTGTCTGTGGGTCCAAGTGAACAGTCAGATGTTAACGAGTAGGGCTGCCCCCGACTAAAGACTCTACTAGTCGACTTCAAATGTTTATGATGTTAATTTAATTATTTAAATCTCTATATTTTAACAGAAACAGCTGTAATGATTGTGAATCAGAACAAGCAGCAAGGAGACTGAACATTTAGTTCGTGTATTCCAACACAGTGTGACATCACACAGTCTGGTTGTTCAACACACGGAATAAATAACTTCCAACTTCACTGAAACTAATCCTGGCTGATCGATACGATGGATAACGTTAACAGTTACTGACTAATTAACTGGCTCCTCTTCCTCCTCTGCCTCAACGCGCTGTGTCTAGTCCGGGTTAAAGTCGCTGTGAACCACCGTGTATAACCGGTGCGTATGCTGGTTTTCATGCACACGGTGGGATATGTAAAAAGGAACGCGATCTCTTGTCTGTCTCTCTAACTTGCTGATTTCAAACTTTAAAGTGTAGTTTCCATCCAGTTACTGTGTAATATATGTTTATATCCACTGATACACTGTGACAGTTGCATAATCTCTGTAGATAATGTTTAACATCAGAAAGGCTAAAACCCAAACTCTATAACACAATATGAGGGTGACAAAATCCACTTAGGAAACAGATACAGGCACCCTCTGTATGGCAGTACCGTGCACCCTCGGGCTCATTTCCCACAGATTAAATGCTTTACTCACTGCGCTAACATCAACACCAGCGGGGAAAGCAGCAGTTCTCTCTGTTTATGGGGAGAAAGAGATGTTAACGCACCTCTGAGTCTGTACACTGATCATCTCAAAGGATCTGACACAGGAGCCCTTCTGAATATGTATACGAGTACTTTAACTGGTTGAACAGATACAGATAAAGGTTGGGGGTGAGCTGGCCGACGTTATCTGCATCAGTTTAACTAAAATTACCTTTATTTGTAGCCATACGTCCGTATCAGACCTCATTAGTTTTAGCTGATGTACCTAATAAACTGGCAGAGTTTTAAAAGAAGAGTTTTTCAAAAAAACCTCCAATATGGCTGCCAGAGAGGAGAACTTAATCCCCTGAAAGTCTTAATGTCCTTTTCTTTATAAATAACTCAGTGTTGAGATCTGTCATTAAATACTTCTACAGACAGCAGCACAGTGTTCCTGTTGTAGTAAGTAACCTTAAAGCAAGAATCGTTTACTGTAGAAGCTCATTTTTCATTATTTGCATGTCTGCTGCGTTCCCAGTGGCCTTACTAAGCAGATATTATGATAAAGTGCTTCCTCGATGTTTTGCTGAGCTCTGGACTTTCACGGGAAGTTTGTGGAAACACCCAGAATCCCCCCCGGCGTTAAAGCCGCTGTGGTGCGAAAGGTGCAGCTCGTAGTGCGTTGCAGGGCACCGTAAATATTTAATCAGGAGAGAAATTAAGTCAGTGCTGACTAAAAGAAATGGGTCAGAGTGAGGAAGTGTAGCGAGCAGGGTGACGCAGGGTGTTGTTATTGGCCGTATGCAGAGGAAATGTCTGTTTGATCAATGATCCTGTCTGAGGAGCTGCTGCAGGACGCCGCTGTTCATCCTCAGGACGAGAGCAGGTTGGACTGTTCTGTCCAACAATGTCCTGAAATTAATAATAAAAACGAAATTACTGGATGGATTGAGACTATTTCACTCTGGTTTGTCCGTCACGCCTGGAGGGGATCGTGTGTTTGCTCTAATCTCTCTCATACGAGACTCATTAAACATTGTCTGTGCTCAGTATAGTGATCGACCGATGTTGGTTTTCAACAGCCGATGCTGATATTAGAAAGAAGGGCTGCTGATGGCCGATATATAAAAAGTCGTGTATGATTCTATTCTGCAGCAAATTCAGGTGTATGTATGGATGCACCAGAGTTATAATACAGACCTCGAAACAAACGTATTTTTGTCTCGGACTCGACAAAGGCGGTCTTCACTACAGCACTTCCTGCCAGTAGGGCCACAAGTGATCAACCCTCCACCAGTGCCTCCAGACTCACCTGGTGGAGACCGGCACTCTTTTTTAGGGACTTTGTGATGAACCGCAGCAGTGAACGAGTGTAACTGTAGAATCAAAGACGGTGCTGAGTTACTGATTTACTGATGTTTTGCTGGTAGCTGTACTTTCAGGGTGTAAATGCAGTCGAGGATATAATACGGCAGTTCTACTAGAAGGCTGTGTTTTGCTGCTGTGCGTCCGCAGAGCTCCTGGCAGGAGTTTGACTCTGGCACTTTTGCTGCCCTTTGTTTTTTTTTGTTTATTCCAGCACGTTTACCCTCTGCTGCTGCTGCTGCTGTCAGATAAACAGAGGGTCAAGTTTCAGCGTAAGCAGCATCCCACTGTTAGCGCCCGGCAACCTGCGAGTCCTCCGAGGCTGCTGGGAAAATCCCGTCCAGACGGAGAGCAGCTTGTAAACTTGAACAGAGCTGCTGAGACAAAACACTCTGAATAATTCAGAGACTCTGCTGCTGAAGGCCAGAGAGGACCAACACACTGCAGACGCACTGAAAGGACTTTAAATCACAGTTTAACACTTCACACCATCTGTTTCATTCCTGGTGCGCTCCTACTCTCAGTATCCACTCAACAAGAACTTTTATTATTTATTTACATCTATCTGTTGTGTGTCTTCTGTAGACTGGAGGAGATAATCTGCTGCAGGAATTAAATCAACTGCAGGAAAGATAATTGAATTTATGTCATCATTTGTCTTTACTGGAGAACATTTTAATATTTGTAAGAGCTACTTACGATATGAAAGTTTTGTTTTTTGGGATTCAGACATAAATACTGCTGAGAGAATTGAATCATAGTCACAGCAACATGGGGGAGCGCAAGATTAAAACATTGATCAGAGAGACAAACTCAATTAAAGCGATGCGTGGCTCCTCGCAGTCCACAAGCCGGCATCATGTGTGGACCACAAATCGGAGGATGATTGCCACACAAGCGTTACTTCCTGTTTCCAGTAGGTGGCGCTATGAGTATGACTGAATATTGGCAAGTAGATGAGTTCAGGGCGGGACTCTTATCAGACGTGAAGTTTGGTCGAAATTGGACAAAGTACACTGAAGTTATGACAACTTCCTGTTTCATGGCAATACGTCGAAACCTGGCGCCACGGCTCGGACACGCCCTCTGACGCACAGTCACAAAGAGCATGACTTTGAATCCTGGTGGTTTTAAGAGCACATTGACCAAATTTGAAGTCCGTCCGATCAATTACCATAGGAGGAGTTCGTTAAAATAAATCACCATGAATAACCAACTAAATTCAAAACGGCCAACTTCCTGTTGGGTTTGGGGTCCAAGAGGCTTTTTTATACCTCTGGACATGATACACATGATTCCTGATGTTTGCATGTCTGGTTGAAATGTGCTTTCTAGGGGGCGCTATGGAACCAGTTTCACTAGATTCATAACACATCATCATCAATCTCTGGTTTCATACGTTTTTCAGCGTGTTGTGTTCGCCTAAATGTTGTTTTGCATTGCATGCTTTTTGCTGGTAGCTGTACTTTCAGGGTGTAAATGCAGTCGAGGATATAATACGGCAGTTCTACTAGAAGGCTGTGTTTTGCTGCTGTGCGTCCGCAGAGCTCCTGGCAGGAGTTTGACTCTGGCACTTTTGCTGCCCTTTGGTTTTTTTGTTTATTCCAGTACGTTTACCCTCTGCTGCTGCTGCTGCTGTCTCTGGTTTCATACGTTTTTCAGCGTGTTGTGTTCGCCTAAATTACGTTCTGATTGACAGAAAAATAATAATTCCTCACATTTCATTGAAGTGAATCCAATGTGTAACCTGCATTCTTTCTAATGGCCAGCAGGGTGCAGCACCATTGGCTGATAGTATTGAGTCTTATAGAGAAATGAGCCTACACTGTAAAAGAGAAAAGCTCAGAGAACTCAAAACAACTTTATTCACAGACTTTTAAGTTTTGAAATAAACTAAAAAGAAATTTGTTTCCTTCTTCTTTAGAAAAACATAAATCTAAAAGTTTTGGAAACAAGAAACTCTATCTTACTTTCTCATTTCTTTTTCTAAAAAAGAAACATAAATTATCATTTATTATTAGAGTAATACTCAGTTGATTTATGAGCTCAGTAAACAGCTTCAGTCTTCTTCCATACAGCATGATTTTCATTTAGTGAATGATGCTCCCATTTAGAGTAAAACTGAACTTCATTTCCTGCTACAGACCACCAGCCGGGACGTGGTTAGCCTAGCTTAGCATAAAGACTTGTAACAGGGTTGTTTTAATAATCACTGCTGTTCCTACTGATGTGTCGTTCCAGGTTGGTCGTTTCTTCGGCGAGGTAGACGGGTCCGTGATGGCGTCGCTGATCAAGATGGGAATGTACAAAAAGTACGACTGACGACATAAAAACCTCCTGAGAGTATTAATGAATGTGAAGGATTCCTCTGATTGATTGTTTGTTTGTTTGTTTGTTTGTTTGTTTGTTTGTTTGTTTGCAGGGTGTCGTTGTTTGACTACCAGGCGATGTGTAAGAACAGTCATCATCACGCCAGCAGCGCCCGACCTCTTCTCAGTGTGAGTGTAATCAGTTACTGCTGAGCACTTCAGTAAGTTACAGCTCTACGTTTAGTTACTGCTGTTGTGATAAAGTACTTTTATAGATTAGTGTGAATTTGAGGGAGTTATACTTTATATTTGGGTACTTTTTACTCCATTACATCTGTCTGACAGCTTTAGTTACTTCACAGATTACAGTTTTTAGAGATACGTGGTTCTCACAGGACAAAATATACGAAGATCTTATAGAATCTGATTTATTGCTGTAGATTAAACTACCTGTATATACAACAGTATATAAAGCAGTTAAAATGAGCTCAATATTAAACATCTACAGCAGTAAAGTCCAACATTAATGCAGCAGTAATATTCTATCCATGCTGATAGATTAAGCACATTTTTCTGATTATATTCATACTTTTACTTTAAGGAGTTTTTAACTGGTTATTAAACAGTTTAACAGTGAAGCCTCTGAATGAGCAACAGAAACAAACAAGACCATCAGAGAGAAGCTGTTTCTATAAAGTTATTAATGTCTGCAGTCGGGTCGGATTCCTCTTGAAATCAGTGGAACAAGGTGGTAGAAACAGTACCATTATTGTCCACCGGGTGGCGCCAGAGTCAACACCACATAAAAGCTCCTTGTTGCTGCTTTAAGTCGGGTTCTGACTGTAGTGGTATAATTCCTCAGTGAGGAATTATACCACTACACTATCAGGAAAGGACCTGAACGGTCTTTAAATCTTCAGGAGCAAGTTTTTGTCAGATTTATTGTGTTTCAGTTCTTCTTTTAACACACAGTTGTTGTCTTTCTTCCTCTCCTGCAGCCGTTCTATGTCATCGGTGCGTTAATAAAGTGGTTCTTCTCCAACGCGCTCATGTAAGTTTTCACTGCTGTTTGTATTCAGTAGGTCAGTGAACTAAACTTTAATCCACAGAACATTCATTATTAGATCTACAACGATGTAATATGTAAAATCCTTCATCAAAAAGCGCCAAGATCTAAACAGTGGATGGTAAAAATAAACAGTCAATGTATGACAGCTTCTATAGAACAGAGCTCTAGAGTTTATACACTGTTTTGATGAGGAAACGTTACAGATTAAAGCTTTAACTCATTCAAAGAATAAAATGTTATTATTTAAGGTTGTTAAAGGAGTAAATTAGAGTTGAATCAATCAACATTCGTGCTGTTCTGGAGTCGATTTGTTTGTATTGATTGTAGAAAAGACTTAAAACATACATTCATTTGTTCAGTAAAAGCAGATGAATATTACAGCGAATACATGTTAACTGTTTCAACCCTTAAATGAGATTCATATTTAATATTAATGAGCCGTCTGCTGGGTTTATTGTGTTTTAATGAGCATAAATCAAACAAATAATCTGAATGAAGAATGAAATTCACCACCTGAGAGACCAAAGGGAGGATTTTTACACGAATGACGGTTGGAGATCGAGGTAAGTTGGAAGGTCTCAGATAAAACGAGTTGTTTGTGTCTTCGTCAGGTTCCTGCTGGACTTTAACCTCTGCGGACTCTGGCACTCGGATTACTTTGTGGACGGTAAGAAGTCTGACATCAGCCTCAGCCAGCGAAAGATCTCTAAAGAAATTCAGATTTAATGGCAAACAATCAAATCTAGAGTTGTATCAGCGGTTACTGTGGTGGAAACGCGGCAACGTGAGTTCACGCTGCTGCTTCCATCACAGTTATTAGCTTTATGGTCTGTGGTCATACCTGTAATAAGTATATATATATATATAAAGCACTGGTTCAAACAGACTTAATAAGCTTCTTTTTTGACAGATTCTGTGTTTAATTCTCGTTCTATCGCCTCTTTGGTTGTTTTCTAAAGCAGGACGAGGCTGTTGATCAGAGAGTTCACTGAGTCTGAAATGAGGCCATAACAGATCAATACATTAGTTTCTGTTCTTTAACGCCTCATTTTTAAATTAATCTAAACTAATGTGTTAAATTTGACAGCAAAATTAGAGCTGGAAAAACATTTAGCTCAAAACTCAGTGCAGCCTCACAGAGCTGCAGGAGTGTCTTTGAATGCATCATTATCTGTCAGCTGTGTTTGAGTTCTTCATCGCTGCTTTGTGTCTCATTTACAAACATTCTGTTTCAAAATGGCGGCCTCATCTTCGTCACCATCCTCATCCTCATCCTCATCTTCACCATCATCATCACCTCCTCCTCCTCCTCGTCCTCCTCCTCCTCCTCCTCCTCCTCCTGGTCCTCCACTGTGATCTTCATCCATTCAGCCAAGGCTGGCTATCACACCTGTGAGTACAACCTGAGTTCAGAAAGAGGAAACGTTTCACAATTTACAGACTCTGACATGGATAAAGAGTGTGTGTGTGTGTGTGTGTGTGTGTGTGTGTGTGTGTGTGTGTGTGTGTGTGTGTGTGTGTGTTCTCAGCTCATAAGCAGAAGAAGGTGGACGCTCTGCAGCCCTGCGACACGGCGTATCCCGGCTTCATGTACGACTCGTCTGTCAGAGAAGCAAACAGCCTCATCAAGTGTGGACGCTGCCAGAAGTACGACACACACACACACACACACACACACACACTCTCTCTCTCACTGTGAAACTTTGTTTGTTTTTATTAAATATGAACTAAATGATTAAAATTGTGTTCAATGTTCATAAAACACTCAAAATACATTAAAGTGATAATAATAATCTTATAATAAGTTGACAACAATACCAATAAAACCAGAAGGAAAAAGAAGAATTACATCAGTCAGATTATCTCAAATTAAAAAGATATTTCATTTATTTCTTCTTAAAGAATAAAGTTTTCTGTTGTGAGACGTTGTAAAGAAGTAAAAAGACGTCAAATCAGTTCTTAAAAAATGTGCGACTTAAAACTCCAGAGGAAGGTTTGTAATAGCTAGTAATAGTTTTTAATCATTTAAATATAAGAATCTTTGTGTTTTTGTTACCTTACAATGTTTTTTTCTGCAGAGGGAGCGGGTTCTCTTCTGGTCGCCGTGTTTCTGCAGAAGTTTTTAGAGAGATCGATCTATTGTTTGTTGTTTTGGTGGTTTTATTGTGATTGAACCACAGAAAGAAAGCTGCAGTCCCTTAATGCCAGAGAATAACACATTTATAGAATAAGATATATAAACTAAATAAAATGTAATATTTTAGACTTTCTATGATGGTTGAAAATATATTTAAAGTTGTTTTCAACCAGTTCTTCCAGCTCAATTTGTTATAAAATCCAATAATCTTAAAAATGTGTTGAATCAGGTCTTAAACTTTGCTTGTATTAATGAATTTGATGTTTTCAGTCTCTTAAATCTGTATTGATCAGGGTCTAACAACTACACTACACTGATATTCCTTTATATCCTTTGTACTTTTGTTGCCTGTAAGGACGTAAAATACATATTTAAAAGCTTTAATAAAAGTCTTTGGAGGAACTAAAGGCCCTGAACTGTCCCCCTTTAGTTCTGTGTTTGAGGAGAATCTCTCTTAAGAATAAAAACACCTACAGCCCCACCTAGTGGTCAAACACGAGCTTCTGCTGCATCACTTTTACTGTCTTTATTCATGAAAATGTTATAAATCAATTAATTAAAGATTTACAGGGAATATTCAACAGAATTTAAATTCCACCAGGGTCCAGCCAGAAATGACTCGATTTAACAACCTGTGTGTGAGCTGGTTGTCTTTCTGTCAATACACTGACATCAATCTTTAGGAACCACAGAGACACAAACTCTCTGAACCAGATTTCAGTTTATTGGCTGTGTATTGATTATTGATTATTGATTACTGTCGTCTGTGCTGTTTCAGGATGTTTGTGGTTCAGCAGATTCCCGACAGTAACCTGGTTCTGGTTGTGACTCAGGCCGACTGCGACTGCTCTCGTCAGTACGGACCCATCCTGCTGGAGCCCAAAGAGATCAAATATATCCTTCACACAGCAGCATCAGCGCCCCCTGCTGTTCAATATATATATGTATATAGATATCTATATATATCTGTTATAATGTTAAACTGGTTTATGTTCCTCAGAACGTTTTTAAACTCATTAAATTATCTCCTGCAGTCAGTGCTGTGTTTTCCTTAACGCCAGTGAACATAACGCCACAGTGAAGTGCAACAGGATGAAATCCCAGAAGGTGCGGCGGCGTCCGGAGTCCTGCCACGCCTACCACCCAAAGGTGAGACAGACAGACAGACAGACAGACAGTCAGTTAAATTACAGCAGATAATAACAATAATTTATTTTCAATGAGTTTTATAGAACTTGAAGCCAAAGTCTCTGTGAAGCTTTTTGATGAACTTGAAGGCAGAAACTGTTTGTTGTTACAATAGAGAGTTAGATCAGATCAGAGAAGAATTTAAATCCATCTTTACTCACTACGTCTCAGCCTTTATAACCCTCAGCTGTGTAAAAACTACAGGTTATAAACTACTTTTTAAAATAGAAAGATTTGAATTTTATCGGCCGATTTAAAAAATCTGTATCAAAATCTGAGAACGTAGAGACTTGAAATTGATTAAAATGACCAAATATACTGGAAATAATCTAAAATGTTTGTTGTATTTAATCATCTCACTCAGATTTACATAAGAGTTTGTTTAGTTTGACACTTTAAAGTTTCCAGTTATTTATTTTCTCTTTTTGAACATTATTTTTTAAATAGATTTTAGATTTATAAATCAATGTACTTATTAACTGTTTTATGTTGTTTTTACATGAATCTATTTATTTATTTATTTATTTTTTATTAGAATTCCTCTTTTTGTTGCCCTACAATAAAATAATAAATTACTTTATTCATCTATAAACAAATAGAATTATAAATTAATTTACAAACGAATTATTTTCACAGCACATTTAATTTAATGCTTTATTACTATTTCTGTGACACTTGTTGTCCTCCGTACCCAACTATAGGAACAAGATTTTTAAGAAGTTAATCAGTAAATTTTTATGATAAAACTCATCAATGAATTAAAACTTTAATTTAATTAATAAGCTTTTAGTTGATAATCATTAATTAATTTAAATGTGTTCTGGTTCTCCAACAGGAAAACGCTAAGGAGTGCGGCGGTGCGTCGGCCATCTCCCTGTCGCTCTCTCTCTTCTCGGCCGCTCTGCTCGTGTCGTCGCTGCTCCACCGCTGGACGTAAGAAAACCCCACCGACCAATCAGCACGCTCTGACGGCGGCGGCAGGAACATAGAAACAAAAACAATCGAGCAAGTAGCGAAGGATGTTTACTCCACCAGAGGGACGTCGGCTGTTGAGACGAGCGTCGGCTCAATCTGCAGCTTTTAAAGGGCTATTTCATTTATTTTTTACAAACTTCCTGAAATAAACTGAAACTTCGGATTATCTCGCGAGCTGTCGGACGGATGTGAAACAGCGCAGCTCCTGGAGAAACGTTGCCATTACACCCAAAGAATGTCGCGTCTTTGTAGCTTTTTTTGATACAGAAATATTGTGTGCGAGTAGTTTTATACGCTCGAATGATTTTAAAAAAACGTAGGAAAATAAATAAGAGGTCAAGGGTCGACAGGGAATACCAGACGTTAAAGGAGCAGCTAGACTTCCACCTGGATACATACTGACCTCTAGTGGCAGGTAGACGCACTATGAGCGGTTTCCTGAACATTTATAAATACGAGAACAAAAAATGACCAATTTTATGTTTTTTAACCCTCTGGCCTCACTACCCTCTCACCAACAGATTGAGTCTGTCATTTTTTAGGTTTTGTATGTTTTTTGCTGCTTTTACTGCGTGAAGTTTTTAATTAATATCAGTTCTTGTCATAAATACAAAATATCCATTCCGTTTTAGTTTTTTAACCCCTCAAATGCCAATTTGTGTGCACAATGCGCTTGTTGGAAAACTACCACAAAATGACCACTGCCCAGCTTCTCAGTGCTACTGGTTTTTCTTGTATTATTAATAACACAGTCTGAGATATGTAACTGATAGATAAAACTCCCTCTCAGCTTGTTCGTGGCCAAAAATGTCCACCTCCTGTTTACATTTCCAAAATGCTATAAAATTAATATATATATAAAAAAATTACACTTTTACTGACTGGATTTTTAAATTTACATCAGTCCTGGTCATGAAAACCAAAATTTCCTTCAAATTCTGAATTTTAACCCTTTAAATACCTGTTAGATCACATAATGCTAATGATTTATCACATTGTTTTTACGAAATAATACATGCTACCTGATTTATTCTTTAACCATCATTGCAGCCTAATGTGTGTCAATAATAATCACTATCAATGATTTTTATGCTTCATTAGTTTTTTGTGCAGTGACAGAAAAACATAAAAACTCCCTCTCAGCTTGTTCGTGGCAAAAAGTGGCCACCTCCTGTTTGCTTTTACAAAATGCCCAACAAACACTATAAACTGAAAATATTTGCTTCTTTCACTGGTTACATTTTTTAATTTGGCATCAGTCCTGATCATGAAATCCAAAATTTTAATCAATTTGAGAACAACAGAACAACAACAGCGTGTGTGTGTGTGTGTGTGTGTGTGTGTGTGTGTCAGAAAGAGAGAGAGGACGATAAACAGTGTGTTTCAGTGAGTGTGTGTGTGTGTGTGTGTGTGTGTGTGTGTGTCTGTGTGTGTGCTCAAGGGCAGCAGGATGTGCAAACCACAGCAGAGTGGTCCTTGCAGACACACTTTCCACAGTTGGAGCAAGTGGTTGCCATTCTTCTTCTTCTTTGGGTGCACAGTCCACACCTTCTCCTACTCTTGTTGGCGGGCTCTGGGTCACACTCTGATTCACCCTCTTGTATCCCGGCAACAATGGCAGCAGCAGCTGCTGAGCGCGGGGGACATGGCCGTCTTGCAATTGCTGGAGTCACCAGCATGTGCCCCAGCCCCTCCAAGAACGCCCTCCGCTGTTTTGGAAGACTCCCACTCAGGATGGACAGATTTCCACAGGACGAAGGCATTGTATGCTGAGATGTCCAGGAGGTTGTAGAAGAGAGCCAGTGGCGGGTGGCTGGTTTTCCTTCGACAACTGTAGGTGCCAACAACCTTGTCCAGGTTATCCACACGGCCTTTGCACCTGTTGTAGTCCAAGATTGCTGCAGGCTTCTTCTTTTCTTCTTTTCTTTGTGCTCAAAAGAAGCACATTCTTCCCTCGCTTGGGCATGTAGGATACTGCCATGGTAGTTTTGGTGAAGGCGAAGACAGATGACAGTTTCTTCCTCTGTCGCAGCTGGAGGAGCTGGGGAGGTAGCTCTGGGGTGTTTCTCCTGATTGTGCCAACCAGAGCCAGTTTTCTTCTGAGGAGTTCCTCTGCCAAGGCGAATGAAGTAAAAAAGTTGTGTCCTTGGAGCCCCTCTGTGAGTCGGACTGTGACCATCATTCCCTGGTTAACTTCCCGGGAACTACCGGGTGGTTTTCCCATGTAAATCTCCATCCTCCAGGCATAGGAGGTTGCCACATCACAGGTGACCCAGATTTTAATGCCGTACTTTGCAGGTTTGTTGGGCATATAGTGTTGAAATCCACAACGACCTTTGAATGCAACAAGCTGCTCGTTGACACACACATCAACCCCTGGATTGAACAAGAGGGGGAGGCGAGCCACCCATTTTTCATTTCTTGAGCGGTAGACGCCAACCAGAATCAGAAACCCAATGTAGGCTCTCATCTCCACTTTATCCACCTCCCTCCGATCCTCACACCTTCATCTCCCATGCAGGTTTGTGTGGGTGCACAGCAGCTGAATAATCTCCTCTGATATAAACAGGTCAAAGGCAGACCTCAGGTTGCTGATGCAGGGTGGGCCCTGGGGTGATACCAGTGGGTACTGGATTGTAGTGCAGGGTCTCTTCAGCAGTGGGAAACCACATCATTTTCCCATGACGAGACATCCACTCACCCGCCGGCTCCACTGTCTCGGCCATCAGCTGCTCGGCCTCCACCGCTGTGTCTGTATCGTATCTTCCCCTGAGGAAGAGGTATCAGGCACTGGCTGGTACTCCTCATCAGTGATGTTGCTGTCATCCTCTGAGGAGGGTGTCCCCTCATCTTCAGGAGAGGACGTGTCCTCATCTTGGGTAGAAGATGTCTCCTCCTCAAGCGCAGAGGATTTCTCCCCATCTTCCCTCCCCGAGCCCATCACATACTCAAGTGCTTCAGTCAGTGAATATGACCTTTTCGCCATCTTGCCAGAGAAAGACTGATCTGGGAGCTGTTAGGCTCACTTATAGCATTAGTACTGACTGCACCTGCATAAACTCCAGGACAGATTTATAAACAGCGTCTGACTTTGTTTTTGTTTCCCCCGAAGCCAGAGGTCAAGATGACCTGTGATCCTTTTTTTTTTTGGAGAGCAGCGATTTGAGTATGTAAGGGCTATTGTGTAGTTGTGTGTGGCATTCTTTTACAAAAAGATCAAAGCTACAGGTGTTTTCAACTTGTGCATCAAAGCCAAGTTTGCCTTGGAAACTCAAAGCTCAATAGCCTGTACCAAAAGAAATTCACTGAAACTTGGAGGTATGATACACTGTAATTTACGTCACTCTATCTTGCAAATACATATTTGCAGGCACTATTTTTTTCATGCACAAACACACATCATTATCTGACATCCTTAAGATCACACCTATGTCAAAATTGTGTCATTCATTTGCTCCATTGGAGTGCAGTTAGCCATCATACGCCCCTAGTGGAAACTAAGAATATTACCTGAAATTGCTCCCTTGGCCAAAAATGGACAAATGACATAATCTGGTAGAAAACATTAAAAACTAAAATTGTCAAGTGTTGAGTTTAGAATGAAATTTTACCTAAATTATATGATTTAATACTGTAAATCACAAGGAATTGTTTTCATGGGTTTCAATTGGCCAAAAGTGTCCATGATAGAGCCACGAGGTACAATTGGAGATATACAGTATAATATTGACATATTTAAAGAGCAGGTTTTGAAATTTAAAAAATCAGAAAAAAATCCAATCTCTTGGGAAATACCATTCCATATGCATTAACACAGCTAGAGTCGTCAAAAAAAGGAAGTGAAGTGGACACAAATGGCCAGCATAGAGTCCAGAGGGTTAAATTTGAAAACAGAAACCAAAAACAGCTGTTTTTTTTTGGTTTGAAAATGTTAAAAAAATTACCCATTTTCTGTTTTTATGATTTGAAAATAGATATTTGTTTCCATATTTATAAATGTTAGTCGGGGAAACGGCTGGAGTTTGGTTTAAAAACTAAAATCTGTCGGCCGCACTGACCCAGTTCAGGTTTCTCTGGACAGGTTTGATTGGTCGACTGATCTGTTTGTTTGTGTGTTTGTTTGTTTAACGGAAGTTTAACGGGACCTGAAGTCTGACGTTTAGTTTCAGTTGGTTAAAAACTGACAAAAAAAAACAAACCAATAAAAATGTTACTTTTTTCACTTCATGTCGGTTCGTTTGTATTTTATTCAGTCCCCCCCCCATCAGGACCCCAGAGAGACCTAAAGGTGCGTTCAGGAAGAATGTCCACTCATCCATTGTATTATTTATTGATTGGTGATCGGAGCACTTTGAGATTAAAAACAAACAACTGGAGTTCAGATTCAGCAGCTTTCAGTCGGACATCCCCGCTGGACGACCGTGCTAATGACAATAATGTGACATTAAAAAAAAGAGAAAAATCCCCTGACAGGCGATTATAGGTTATTGATGACGTTATTAGAGACAGAGTCTAAAATTCTGAGTTTATGTAAATTAGAAGCTTTATATGGTCTTTAAATTAAATCCAGCTGTCATTAAAACATTGGAAAGCTTTTATTTTTACTCTTTTTGGCTTAAAGTTTAAATATCTTTTATGAAATATGTGTAGATATATGTACGTATATGTGAATTAATATTAATTTTAAGTTTTAATGGCGTCTTTAAGTGTTAAATTCTGACCTGGAATCAGTCAAACGAGTGAATAGTTTTACTAATTTCCACAGTTTTAACATTAAATATATAAACACTCATTCTGCTGCAGACGAGATCAAAAGAAAGTGTTAAAGACTTTAATTAATTAAAACTTTAATCTCAGGACACGTTAATCTCTTATTTTATCAGCTGGACTAAGTCTGTGTTTATAACACGTTAATAAGATTCATTTAATTAGTTTTACTCTCTTCAGGGGAGCCGATAAAAGAAAGAAAGGTCACGTTGCTGTCTGATGAAAACTGAGTTTGTGTATTTTTCAACCTGGAGTTTATTTTCTGTTTCAGTCTGCAGCCAAACGGGAATTTTATGAGATCTGGAGTTTTCAGCAGATCATTTCCAGTTTAGGGAACTTTATCCAATTCTATCTGTATTTTTATCATTTATAACCATCATAAAGAGTCAATAGGCTCTTTTTTGACAAATTTTGTGTTTTCTTCTCCCTGACGTTTGTTTTATTAGACAATTTAATTACTTTACTCAACAGAAGCGACCCAACCGCTGAGATATCGGCCTACAGCTCGAATCCCCGTCGTACGATCCGACCCCAGGTTGAACAATACACAGCAAATAACACACACACATAAACAATCACACAAAATGTCCACAATCATCTGTTTACAGCATCAGTGCGTTTGTAGAAAACAGTCGCTGTGTGTTTGTTTGACCCTACAAAATAAAAACCAACAACAGGAAACAAACAACTTCACCGTCAGTTCTTCGAATTATTTCAACCAGCAAAGAGTTAAATTTAAATCAGTCGGGGAGAAAACAAACTCCCTTTTAATGGAATAAATACTCAGAGTGTTCAAACATTTACACTTCAGGAATATTATAAACAGTCTGTTTGTTGTTGTTTTCCTGTTTAAGGCGTTGGGAGCGTCTTCCTGTCCGAGCGAGTTCCACAGATCGAATTCACTCCTCTGTGCGTCCAGTGAGTTTTATCTCAGCCCAGAATTAAAGTCGGATCCTTAAACCGGGAACTTTGCTGTTGGGAATTTGAGGGAAACTGAAAAAGTGAAAATAATTTATAAAGCAATCGAACACCTCCTGGGCCACGTGGCGTCTGCACGGTGTGTCTTATCTGGGTGTTTGGGCTCTACATGGCCTGCTGTCTGTCCTGAGTCGGAGGCGCCGCCTCCTCCTCGGCCTCTCCTCCTCCTCCTCCTCCTGCTCCTTTCTCCTGGTTCCAGTCCCGGAGGCCCTTCGGGAGGCTCGTATCCTCCTCGAAGCTCCCCGTCCCCTCCACAAACTCCTCGTACGTTGACTTCTCCTCGAACGGCCGCGGGCCCAGCAGCTCCAACATGTCCGCCTTGTCCAGGACCTCCCTCTCCAGGAGACGCTTCCCCACCTGAGGAAGAAACCCGAGCTGTTACACAACAAAGTGAACTTACGATAACATCTCCAAACGCAACCCCGGACCAGGACCAGGAGGAGACCCCGACCCTCTAACGGATGTCTCAGAGTCTCACCAGCTCCACCAGCTCCTTCTTCTCCTGGATCAGCTCCATGGTCCTCTGGTACGCCTGGTCCACCAGCTCTCGGACCTCCTGGTCGATCAGCTCGGCCGTGGCCTCGCTGTACGGCTTCTCCATGACCATCTCACCCTGCCGGGGCAGGTCGAACGACACCTGCCCCACCTTCTCGCTCATCCCGAATTGCACCACCTGGAGGAGGAGAGGGGAGGAGAGAGAAGGAGAACCCGGCGTCACAGCAGATCTTCTACCACATCAACACTCAGAGAGGATCAGCAGGCGGGTGCCGTGTACCTGAGCGTAGGCGGACTGCGTGACCTTCTTCAGGTCGTCCTGAGCTCCCGTGGTGATCCTGCCAAAGAAGGTCTGCTCGGCCACGCGGCCCCCCAGCATCATGCACATCCTGTCGAACAGCTGCTCTCTGCTGTACAGGTACTGCTCTCTGGGCAGGTACTGAGCGTAGCCCAGACCCTTCCCCCGCGGGATGATCGACACCTGGACACACGAGGATCCGATTATTTAAGATCTAAACTTTATCCAGAGAGCTTCAGTCTCTGATCGACGGACTTGTCCTGCGTTAGAAAAGTTAAAACAACCAAAGAACTAACAGAACCAAACATCAGAGAGAAGAAAAATACTAAATGTGTCCAAAAAAAGCAAATTCTGAACTTCTGATTGTTCAATAAAAACCTTTGTGGCGATCGGCTGCAATCCAGAGTAAATAAACTGTTCAGAGTTTGACCCCTCTCACCCGTTAGCTCCAAACGTCGTCACTACGAGAGCAGAACTGGACCCTGAAGGTATCAGACGTGTGTGTTTGTGTGAGAGGAGTAACAGATGTGAGCTGTACCTTCAGCAGCGGGTCGGCGTGCTCCAGGAACCAGCCCACGATGGCGTGACCGGCCTCGTGATATGCCACGGTCTTCTTCTCCGTGGGCTGCAGCACCTGAGTCTTCTTCTCCAGACCTGAACGAACGACACAGGAAGCACAAAGGTTGGCGTCTGTCGGTCGCTGTTGAGGAACCGCGACGACAGAAAACGGGGACACTGACCTCCGATGACGCGGTCGATGGCCTGTTCGAAGTGTTTGGCGTTGACGGACGGGCTCAGGTATCTGGCGGCGATCAGCGCCGCCTCGTTGCAGACGTTAGCGATGTCGGCTCCTGATGACGTTAAATCAAATAAAGAATCTTTTTACTAGAACATGTTACCGGATCAATAACCTCCCATTGTAGGATTTAAACTCCTCTACGTGTCACTAACTGGGTTAATGACACCGGGCTGAGGCGTTAACGTACCGGTGAATCCCGGCGTGGCAGCCGCCATCTTCCTGGCGAGAACGTCTTTGTCCATGTTGGGGTCCAGTTTGATGGGTCGCAGGTGGACTTTAAAGATGGACGCCCTGCCCTTGATGTCTGGAGGACCTGAGAGGAGACGTGACGGAACCAGAGAGCTCAGTTAATGATACGATTTTTATTTCGGGGTAAATAAATCTGCATTTGGTTGTTTTTTTAATAATAAAAATAAACATTTGTGTCTTGCTGTTTATTATTATTCACATTACAGTTAATCAAATCAATCAAAAGAAGCAATATGAAGACGTCACAGGGGCGTTTTCTGATGCTTAAAGGTTTTATATGAGATTTAAAACGTTAATTTATTCTGTTTTTATCATCTACGTCGATGAATTAAGGATTTATTTCCACCAAACCAGAGTTGGTGATTGTTGGAAACACTAACAGAGACGCTTTTAATGAGTTTTATTCTGTTTCTGTCCACTTTAATGAAGTTCTGATGATCTGAAGGTAAAATGAGTGTTTTTGTCTCTGGAGTCTGGTGGAGAGTGATAGTGATATTACGGCTGTTTGTGGTTAAACTAAAGGTCTATCTCTGTAGGGATCCTTTCCATAATGCTGTCAGACACTGACAATAACAACCTGAGTCTGTCAGTGGAACAAACAACAACAACTAACGTTACTTACAAGCACTTTTTGTGAACATTTTCTCATCTAACTTTGTGAATTAAGGATTTATTTCCACCAAACCAGAGTTGGTGATTGTTGGAAACTAAGACACAGGTTCTGGTGTCTGGTTGGCAGTAACAGTGAAATGTCTCTTTGACCAGAAGCGCCAACCAGCTCTCGGTGTTGATCTCCTACCTATGTAGATCTGTCTGTCGAAGCGTCCTGGTCTCATCAGTGCCGGATCCAGGATGTCGGGTCTGTTGGTTCCAGCCAAGACCACCACGTTAGTGGATGTGTTAAAACCTGCGGGACACCAAAAAAAAAAGCTGAAATCTTAAAACCTCAAAACTAAAAACCCCTGAAGGACCAGACTGCAGCTCACCGTCCATCTCCACCAGCAGCTGGTTCAGCGTGTTCTCCTGCTCGCTCTGACCTCCAAAGTTCCCTCCGCCCCTCTTCCTCCCCACAGCGTCG